CTTTTCTGTGCTCCACCATGCTGGGTGGTGCCTGTCTCTCCGGGCAGGAACGGCTGCTCACACAACCCCTCCACACCAGGACGCAGCCAAATCCCTCACCACAGCAGTTCCCGTGCACACCTGAGCTACCTCACAGCTACTGCTGATCAAGCCCCAACTCAGGAGTCCCCGTGACATTGCAACCCACGCTCCTGCGGGAAGAGTCCAGCCCGTCATAGGAGCCAGCCAAAACCTGCGGGCGCTCACGCCGAGCATCCTCCGTGAGGGCCGGGAGGGGCTGCCAAGGAGGAACTCTCACAGGGAGACAGGGAGCCGCCGGAGGCCATCGCGTCCTGGGACTCTGGAACTGGTGCCACTGCTCCCAGCCCCAACCACTCAGTGCAGATGACGAGAGCGCGGGGAGAGCGGAAGGAAGGGCTGCTGAAAGCTCAGCCTCAGGACGGCCATTCGAGATGGAGCGGGGAACTCTGAGCTAAGAAGGGACGAGGCTCCCACACAGACGTGGCTGGAGCCTCGGTGTCCAGTGGAACCAGGGCCATCTGCCCCTGCAGGGCTGGGTCATGGGCTCAAAAATGGCTCCTTCAATAGTTAAGTCCTCGGCATTCACAAACACTAGCTTCCTACTTATGGTGTTGCCGACTCCCCTCCCCTAGACACGCAGAAACACCATTTCATGTTCAAGGCACCACTGCTTATCAGAGAAAATGCACAAGGGAAAGTTAAAACACTTACAGAGCTGCAATGCACATACATATGAAGGAACTGCTGAGTACGGTACACATTTGTACGAAATCAAAAGCTACGGATAACAGTTACACCAGTGAAGGCTGAGAAAACTCAGTGTGACCCTCAGAGAAGGCACTCACTTCCTGATGGCTGTCTCTGAAAACAGTCTCAAGGTCAGGGGCAACAGTAACAAGTCCATCTAAGCAGGAAGTCAGGGCCACAGCCAGCAGCAGCCTCATGACCGCCGGAAGCCCACTCCCACACTGCCCTCCAAGCAGAAAGCCAGGAATGTGATGGGCACTGGGGTGGGCACAGCGTGGGAGGGACTCTGAGGTATGCCATTGTTTTCAGTACGAGTTCTGGATCCTGATTTCTTTTTTCTAAGACTTTTTATTTGACTTTGAGAGAGAGGAACATGACTGGCTGCCTCCTGCACAGCCCCACACTAGGGACTGAGCCCACAATGCAAGCAGGTGCCCTGACCGGGAATCAAATCCTTGCTTACCTAACAACACTCCCCAGAAATGTGGTGGAGGCAAAGCCACCACCAACGGCAACACGTCCCTCTCACTGCGTCTCTGACTCCCAAGTCCCTCAGAGAAGCTGGGTCGGATCCGCCAGCTCATGGCTTCCAGGGCAGCACTGCCCACGAGGAGGAGGGACCAGGTCCCAGAGATGTCCCTGCAAAACCAGGACCAGCTCGGCCTTCCTGCTCAGACCACAATCCTCTACAGGCTGCTCCCAGGGACAAACCCGTGTCCCAGTCCCTTCCCTCCCAGCCTGTATTGATAAAGTGGGGTTTCCTGTGACAAAAACAAACAGTAAAGCCAGAGTAACCCCAAGAGAAGACTTGAAGCTGAATTTTTCAAGCACATCTACTTGTAAATCCATCATTCGTAATAAAAATGCAAATTAACACTGAGCTGAAACAGCGTTTCTCACCTATCAGGCTGACATAAAGTTGGAAGCTGGGCAGCACACTCGTGAGGCACTGCAACCTCGGAAACAGAATGCGAGCAGCAGGCCTGGCCCACTCAACAACGGCACGCGCTCTGCCCCTGGACCCGGCAGTCCCACACACGTGCACCCTGACAGCCGCCTGCAACGTGAAAATACATAAGCACGCGGGTATTCACGATGGGTTATTTGCAAATGCACAAATGCTGGACGTAAGAGTGGTCCGTATTACAGACTGGCTGACTCCACTGAGGTCCCATCGATGGGAGCCCTGCAACAGGTGAAAGGCAAGGCGGGCGCCAGGGCCGGTGGAGAGCGGCCCAGCACGCCCAGTGTCCAGGGCCGGTGGAGAGCGGCCCAGCACGCCCAGTGTCCAGGGCCGGTGGAGAGCGGCCCCAGCACGCCCAGTGTCCAGGGCCGGTGGAGAGCGGCCCAGCACTCCCAGGGAGTCCAGAAGCACAGCGCAGGACACAGTACGTGGACACTGCCTTCGCCTCAGAAGGGGGAAAGGACAGGGGACGGATGGGTGTGATAGGAAGACGCCAATCACAGAGACTAGGTGATGGGTCTACAGTTGGTAGGCAAAGTTCTTTCAAGTCTATGTACCTTGGAAATTGTCCTTGTAAAACACTATAGGAAAAGGTACTGTCTGTATTACGTGGTATCACCAGAAGTGGCTCAACAAATAAAGTCCCATCTGCTAACACGACACCCATCCTTCTCCCCTCTGAGTGTGAAGGTCCCACACTGGTTCCTAACACATATCAATTCCACGTGATACAGACTGGGCAAACCGCGGCTGACAACCACCTAGGATTCACTGCACCCCATATTCCCTGGTGCGTGGCTACAGCGGGAAGCCCAGCTCAGTGTGGCCAGGGTCCCGAGTCTCACAGCCCACATGCCAAACTCATGGCGAAGGTGGCGGCCCCCGGGCTGATGGACCAGAGCCCCTGAACTGGACAGTCAGCCTGACAGGAAGGGCCGGACAAGCTGAAGCAGTGCTTCTTTCGCACTAAGTGGCCAAGCTGAGCCGGAACTCAGCACCCTGCTGCTCCCGGCCTGTTTCCCACCGCCCCGCGAGCCTGGGAGGCACTTCTCTCCTAAAGGTCGCCCGTGACATTTTAGCACCCGGCTGCACTGCGTCTGCCGACGCCCGTGCCCTACAGGAGCCAGGAGTCCCTGCCCTAAGACGCTTCGCCCTCCTCCCAGCACCAATGCTGTCCTCTGGTGGGGGAGTCCGCGGCAGGTGCTCGTGTCCAGAAGAAAGCTGGGAGAACTCGTACCGAGCCAGGGACAAGTCAGGAGCGGGAGGAAGCAGAGGAGCTGCCATGCTCTGCGTGCCGCTGTACTGTGAGCACCACGCAGCGTGAACTTCCATTCACTCGCATGAACGCCCGTCAGCAGGTGCACGGGCAGACCCTGGCCCCTCCACACCTGGGACACCACCGAGCAGCAGGAAGAGACCAACGCTCAGCCCTGCAGCAACCGCGGTGAAGCCAGACTCCAAGGCTCCGTCCCGCAGAGTTCCTCCAGCGGGCACCCCAGAAGCACACAGTAAACACGTGCCAAGGGCTGGGGCGGGGCTGACTACAGACAGGCCCCACGTGGAAACTGTTTGGATCAAACAGCCGGTTTGAGTCCTATTGCGGAAATTTCGTGTTTAACTAAACAAGGAACTGTGGCAGGCACTACCAGCAATGACTGCAGGGCAGTGGTTCTCAACCTTCCTAACGCCAGGCCCCTCTACTACAGTTCCTCACGTCGTCGTGGTGACCCCCAACAGGCTGAGAACCGCTGCTGTAGAGCCTGAGACCATAGGAAAACACAGCTATTTACGTTATGATTCATTCACGGTAGCAACATTACAGTTATGAAGCAGCAACGGAAATAATTCTATGGTTGGGAGTCACCACAGCGTGAGGAGCTGTATTAAAGGGTCGCGGAGTTAGGAAGGTTGAGAACCACTGCTGTAGAGGCTCAATGGCACACGACCACGCTAATGTACGCAAAACTGCATTATACAATTGCAATTAAACGAGGAGGAGGAGGAGGGGGAGAAGAAAAGAAATTGCATGGGTAGAACAGGGAGCCAAAAAGGAACTGTTGTGCGTATCTTTGGGTGGTCGAATGATTTCAAGTTTTAAAATGCATGTCACCAGCCCTGATCGGTGTGGCTAAGTGGATAGAGCATCAGCCTGCGGACTGAAGGGTCCCAGGTTCGATTCTGGTCAAGGGCATGTACCTTGATCGCGGGCACATCCCCAGCGGGGGGAGTGTGCAGGAGGCAGCTGATCGATGTTTCTTACTAACTCTCTACCTCTCCCTTCCTCTCAGAAAAAAAAAACAAAAAAAACACACACAATATATTAAAAAAAAAAATACATGTCTCCATTTTCCCAACCACTCAGAGAGTATGTTAATTTTAAAGTTACAAAGACCATTTCATTTGCACCCACGTAAAAGCTTCATCACAAAGTAAAGAGGGTGACACGCATCTCTAAGCCGGGGCCTAAGTGCTATTTGAGGAAGTTCCGCTGCGTTATTTCTGCGGCTGACACCGGGGCTGCGGGGGGCCGGAGGGGGGGGGCCGGCTCGGCCGCGGGGCAGGGGCAGGGGCAGGGGCGGGGGCGCCGGACGGGGCCGGTGGGCGTGCACACGCCTCACCAATGACGCTCCCCGCACCTGGGCGGCCGGGCCGCGCGCGCAGAACCCACGCGTGGGGACGCCCACCCACTTGCTGAGGCGCTTGGGCACCGGAACCCGAGAACGAGATTAAAATGAAAGCGCCAGCCCCGCGCCGGGATCCCGTCACGCGGACCGTGAAGAGCGCCCCGAGCACCCCACGGCCCGGGCGGCCCGCGTCAGGTGTGCAGCGCCGCCCGCCCGCCCCGCCCCGCCCCGCCCCGCCCCGCGCCCCCGGCCCGGCGGCCGCGTCTCCGCGCCCAGCCCACCCGTCACCGCGACGCGCGCCCCCCGAGGGGCTCCGGGAGGCGGCGGGCGGGAAGAAAGGAGGCGTAGGCCGCACGGCCCACCCCCTCGCCGCCCACCCGAGTCCGGCCCGCGCACAGGCCCCGCCCACTGGCGGCGGCGGCGGCGCGGCCTGCTCTCGGCGCGATGCCCGGGGGAGGCAGCCGCGACGGGCCCCTCGGCACAGGCCCCCGGAACCTCTCCGCCCGTCCTCCGCGACGCCACTTACCCAGGGCCTGGGCGGCGCTCCGGCCGCGTCGGACTGGCGTCGGGAGCCAGGAGGCGGCAGCTGAGGTAGAGGCGGCGCCGCTCGGATCGGACCGGAGCATCCGGGGCCCCGGGCGGAAATAGCGGCGGCGCGCCTGCTACGGCAAGCCGGAGGGACGGGCGCCCGCGCCGCAGCTGCGCGCTGGCGGCCGGCGTGACGTCAGCGGGCGCGAGGCATCGAGACGGCCTGGCGGGCTAGAGAGGCCGGGCGAGGGCGAGGGCGTGGGCCGACGGGCCGGCGGCGGACCGAGCCCTGGAGCACAGCCGCCCAGCCGCCCGTCGCGATCGGAGTGACTTCTCCGCCGGGAGTCTACGGTCTGGGAGGTGAGTTCCGCGAGGGGAGAGAGGGAGCACGGAGCAGAGGGAGTCACCTCCCCAAATCACTGGGCTCCTCAACAAAAGATGCTGGGACGAGGGCGCCCGCCCGTGAAGCCATGACGCCGGACCCGGGACCCCGACCTCACTCCCACTTGCAAAAGCGACCCTGATGCTGCAAAACGCAGGCGTCCCAGCCTCACAGCGCTAGTTTCTTTAGAAGTGACACCAAAAGCCGAAGTCACGAAAGAAGAAACGGGTACATTGAACGTCAGCAAAATTCAAAACTCGGGTGCTTCCGATGACGCCGCTGAGAAAAGACAGCCCAGGGGCTGAAAGAAAGCATTTGCAAAGCCTCTGCCGGGTAAGGCGCGTGTATCCGGAGCAAAGGATTTCCACCTCGGTTAACGGGCAAAGAACTCGGCAGACATGCCGCAGAAGGAAACGGCTAGTGAGGACATCTTCATCAGGGGTCCGAGAAATGCAAAACCACAGTGAGCCCTAGCCTAACTGGGTTGCTCAGTGGATAGATCATCATCAGCCTGGAGACTGAAAGGTCCAGGTTTGATTCCCTGGCCGGGCACAGGCTCAGGTTGTGGGCTCCATCCCCAGTGGGGGATGTGCAGGAGGCAGCGAAAGAATCATTGATGTTTTTCTCTCCCTCTTTCTCTCTTCCTCTCTGAAATCAATAAAAAAATATATTTTAAAAAAATAACTACTTAATTGTGCACATTGAAAGAATGAGTTTTATATTCCATTTAGATTTTTTTTTTTTTTAAGAAGAAATGCAGGTGAAAGCGATCCACTCCTCATCAAAATGCAGGTGCCCATACCCTCTCTGATACTACACACCCTGAGAATGTCTGGAAGAAAGCTTGGCTATCAAAGGGACAGGAGAGGGGCAGTTGGAAGGGGATCAGTAGGTTGGATAATGGAAGTGACTTCACGTTTGTGAGTGCGATGGTGCAATAGGAACGTGAAAGGTAAGAAAAAGGGAATTTAACGGGGATGCGGGAAGCGACGATGGGGTCTGAGGGCATTTGTGTGGGACAGGAGCGTGGCTTCCATTGCAGCATGGAGGAGGAGGAGGAGGAGGAGGATGTGTTATCAGCTTGGATTAGGATTCAGGAAGGTGGTGGTGGTGGGGGGATTGATAAAGAAGACTGCAGCCCACCAGTCCAGGCAGATGGAGAGATTTGAAATGGTGGGAATGCACCAGCTGGGGAAGGTATCCGTCTTACCCTGTTGTTGCATGCATGCATACACACAGATGTGCCACCTATACTCACATGCCACACATGCACGCACATGGGTGTGCACACACATCATAAGCTCGCACGCACGCACACACACCACTTCTCCGCCTTAAGTCCTCTCTCCTGGCTTCTCCAGCGGACTTGCCGATGACCCGCCCACCTCTTCTTGGCTAACAGGTCCCTTTGTTCGGGGTTGGCACTGAGCCCCACTTCACAGAAGGCATTTTCCCATCCTCCCTTGCAGCTAGAGGGGACCACATGACCAGCCTCTGGACAGGGACGGAGGGAGGGAAGTGGCTGGTGGGCCTGCCGGGAGACCTCACTAAGGGACATGGTCAGGGATGTCCCCCTTCCTTCTGCCTCACGCCTCCCACCCAGACCGAGGACAGAGCTAGGCGGCTGTGACCAGGATGGAGGCCAGGAGCTGGAGAGGGCCAGCTGGACAGAGACAAGGCCTTCCTCCCGCCCAGGGGGCCTCAGTGCTGGGCCGCCTGTCCGGCTCCCGCTGCACACAGCCGAGGCCCGTCCTGGGGTATCGAGGCCGCGTCCTGGGAAGAACCCCTACTGTCCTACTGCCTGCTGGCTCTCTACCCCAGAGCCGCCGAAGCACGTCCCGTACGCACACTGGCAAAAGGAAAAGAAAGAACCGAAAAAGGGGAAGGAGTGACAAAGCAAAGCTTGTATCTATTTAATAAGAAAATCATTTCTTTAAAAAAATAGTGTCTTTCCACGCTGAGGTGTGCAGCGTGCACGCCGAGCTGAAACGGGCTGGCAGCGGGCTCTCCTGAGGGAAGCTGAGGATGATGTGGGTCTCGAGGTCCTGAGGTTGCGAGGCCGCGTCTGGGCTCCCGCCCGGCAAGGGATGCGGCCGATGGCGGCGGCAGCGATGGCGGCTCCTGGTGCACCCGTCTCCGAGGGTGCGGCCCCGCCTCAGTCGCCGTCTCCGTCCTCTTCGCTGCCTTCCTGGGGGCTGGCGACCTGCAGAGCAGAGGCAGACGGGTGGGTGGCTGTGGGGAGGTGCGGGGAGCTGTCCGAGGTGCACGAATCTGTGCACCGGGCCTCTAGTGAACGTAATAAACATCGACGTTGGAAGAGTCAGGGAGTTCACATAAAATCCTTGTTCACATAAAATCACTTATTTCTCTTGGAAAAAATGTGAGCAGCTCTGCCAAGGCCAGGCCCGCCTCCAACGTGGCCACCGCCGGCTGCTGCCCAGCTGCCCGTCGCCCCTACAGCTAGTCTCCACCCATCCCTACGGCCTTCCTGGCCTGGGCTGCCATCCACGCCCCGCCCTGCCCACAGGCTGTTCTGGCACCTGCCTGCTGCGCCTGTGCACCCACCTGCAGGGACAGTTCACACCTCTAGGTGTGGAGGCTGGCACGGGTCTCCAGACACACCTGGGTCACGGGAAGGTATATCCCCAGGGAGGGAACCTGGGGGGCGGGGGTGGGGGGGTCACCCTCTGAACACCCACTGCATCAGCAAGAGAGGGCTTGTGCTAACGGGCTGGCGCTGCCCGCCCAGGAAAGACATCCTCTGCCCTGACTGGTGTGGCTCAGTGGATAGAGCGTGGGCCTGTGGACCGAAGGGTCCCAGGTTCGATTCTAGTCAGGGGCATGGACCTTGGTTGCAGGCACATCCCCAGTAGGAGGCGTGCAGGAGGCAGCTGATAGATGTTTCTCTCTCATCCATGTGTCTAGCTCCCTCTCCCTCTCCCTTCCTCTCTGTTAAAATCAATAATATATATATTTAAAAGTCTTATTTAAGAAAAGAAAAAAAAGGCGTCCTCCAGTCACCGCCACGTCACAAATGGAAAGACGCCGCCTGCACGTCCCCGCCTGGCATGGGGTGAGCACTAGGCAGTGTTTTGGGTCCCTGACCACCTGGTGCCCTGCCCCAGCCTGCTTCCTCCTGCTGCTGTGTGACCTGGGGGGGTGATGCACCTCCGTGTGCCTCAGCTCGCTCGTGGGCACAAGGGGCACGGCGACACCCGCGCACGGCGGGTCAGAGGCTCGGCCACGGCCGACAGACACGGGCGAGCACAGCACACGCTCCTGGAAGGGCTGTGCCCCCCCCCCCTCGGGCCCCACCTTGGCGCCGGGGCCGGCGGCCGCGCTGGCCGTGGCGCTGAAGTCGTGCGTGGGCAGCGTGCTCAGCCACTGGGCCATGGACCGCTCGTGGCGCTCGGTGCTGACGATGGTGGGGTAGATGTGCTGCTCCTTGAAGGCCTGGGCCTCGGCCTCCTCCCGCTCCCAGTCCAGTGGCTCGTGCAGCCCGTCGCCGCCGAAGCGCCGGTTGTAGGTCTCGAAGTGCACGCGCTCCAGCACCAGGCCCAGGCCGGGCGCCTTGGGCACGTCCACCTTGGCCTCGCCCCAGCAGCGCTCCAGGGCGTCCTCGGGCGCGTAGCCCTTGGCGATGGCCACCACCAGGCCCACCATCTTGCGGATCTGGTGCGTCATGAAGCTCTGGCCCTTGACCTTGATGACGGCGAACTCCATGCCGTCCCGCTCGAAGGGCTCCCCGCACACCATGTCCAGGACGTAGCGCTGGGCGCTGGGCTCCCGCGGCCCCTTCTGCGAGGTGAAGTTGTGGAAGTTGTGGGTGCCCTGGTAGCGGGCCAGCAGCCGGTTCACCTGCCGCAGCCGGTCGGCGCTCAGCCGGTACGTCTCGTCCTGCGGGTCGCGGTCCTTGTGGGCGAAGGCGAAGGTGGGCAGCATGTACACGTAGGTCCGGGCGTCGCACCGGTTCTTGGAGTTGAAGCCGCCCGTGACGCGCTTCAGGCCTGGGGGGGGGGGGGGGGGCGACGGGAAGAGGCCTCAGGCACGGGGACAAGTCCTGACCCTGGACCCCACACCCCACACCCTGAGGGACATGACCCAGGGTCTGTCAGACCTGGGCTGGCGAGGGGCCGGGGGCGGGGGCGGGGGCTGGGGCTGGTCAGGCGAACCCCCCCACCCCCGCACCCCCCCTCTACCCCATGTGCACGGACCCCACCGTGAGCACTGGGGTCGGGTGGCGCCTGGCTTACCCAGTATTCGAATGTGGGACGGGAGGTGGCTGTTGATCTTCTCTAGGATGTCGTCAATCAGCCACACCTTGAGGGACACCACCTGCCCGGCTGCGGACACGCCCTGCGAAGGGAGCACGGGGCCCACAGCCCACACAATGGTTACTCCCGTTTTCTTTAAACTATATTTTATTGATTTTTTTAGAGAGGAAGGGATAGGAAAGGAGAGTCAGAAACATCAATGAGAGAGAAACATCCATCAGCTGCCTCCTGCACACCCCCTACTGGGGACGGGCCCGCAACCAAGGTCCACGCCCTTGACCGGAATCGAACCTGGAACCCTTCAGTCTGCAGGCCGACGCTCTACCCACTGAGCCACACCGGTTAGGGCAGGAGTCCTGCTTTTAGAGATGCACCAGAAGCGAAGGACCAGGTGCCAGGACAACGCTCTGCCTCACTTAGCCCTGCGGTCGGCAAACTCATTCATTCGTCAGCAGAGCCAAATACCAACTGTGCGACTGAAATTTCTTTGGAGAGCCACATTTTTTAAACTTAGACTTCTTCTGCCGAAACCGGTTTGGCTCAGTGGGATAGAGCGTCGGCCTACGGACGGAAGGGTCCCGGGTTCGATTCCAGTCAAGGGTTGCGGACCACAGGCCTAGGACAGCGTGTAGGCGGGAGACGGAGTCCCGGCTGGCACGTGACCCTCGGCGCCCGGGAAAACGGCCACGCAGCTCGGGCAGCAGCACGGCGAGGCGGCGAGGGGGCACCCTGGGCCTCGGAGACCGGGCGCCGCGCCGCCTACCTTGTCCGTGCGGGCGCACCGCTGGAAGGACATCTTCCTCATGTCCTCGCCGTGGTTCTCGGGGATGCAGCCCGCCCGGACCAGGGCCGACACCAGGTCGTCCTCGATGGTCTTGAACTGCGAGGACCCGACGTTCCTCTGAGGGGGAGAGCAGGAGGCATGGGTGTTCGCTCGGTCGCAGGCCACAGGGGAGGGCCCCAAGTGCTCCGGCGGGCAGGGCAGGCCCAGGGTGCCCGCGCCCGCAGCCCGGGCCTCACCTGTGGCCGTGCAGCCTGTCCCCTTCCCAGAGGAAAGGGGAGAGCCACCTGAGGGTACCCGGAGTCTCCTGAACCCCCACCCCGGGCAGCGGGGAAACAGCCCACAGCAGGGGTCCTAGAGTCCCCCCACCCGCCGGCTCTGACACCAGTCCCTCCTGCAGCTGGACACGCCTGTCTGCAGCCCCCGTGGCAGAGGGACCCTCCCCCCCCCCCCACTGTCGGGAGCCGGCCCCTCGCTCAGAGGAACACGCCCGGGATATACTGCCAGCCGGGGCATCACGGGTTCGGCATCCCTGGCTCTTCCTAAACCAGCGGTCGGCAAACTGCGGCCCTTTGGCCCCTGGAGTGTGGCTCTTCCACAAAATACCACAGCCTGGGCGAGTCTATGTTGAAGAAGTGGCGTTCGGAGAAGTTTAAGTTTAAAAAACGTGGCTCTCCAAAGAAATCTCAATCGTTGTGCTGTGGATATTTGGCTCTGTGGACGAACGAGTTTGCCGACCACTGGCCTAGGGAACGTGCCAGCACGGAGAGCGCCCATCACCCGCCCCAGGCCAGGACGCTGGTCAGCGGCAGGTAACTACCGTGGGGGACAGACAACGCCCGGGGGCAGCCTCTCCCGAGCACGCAGCAGGTCCAGGCGCTGGGGTTACCGTCTCACCCGCCCCGAGGCGGCCTCACTCGCTCCCAGGCCCCTCCCCGGAGCCAGGGCGCGGCCCCCGTGGGTGAGCTGAGCGGGGTGGATGGACCCGAGCCCCCCTCACCTGCATGCCGTGGTAGCCCTTCCCCGAATAGGCCATGAGCAGCACGATCTTGCGCTTGGGCAGCTTCCTGGGCTGCTCGCCGTCCTCGCCGCTGCTCTTGAGCTTCTTGGCCGGCTGCTCCGCGTCCTCCCAGACCCGGGCCCCGCCACGCCAGCGGCTCCCGGCCTTCCCGACCGGCTCCGGCAGGGCCCCCGCCGCGGGCGCCGGGGCCTCCGCCTTCCCGGCCATGGGAGGCAGGCTGGAAAGACAGGGGGCGCTGTCAGCCGGACAGACGGACGGACGGCGCTCGGGCTGCACTGGACACCGGGGCGGGGCGGGCATTACCCGAGGAGGCGTCCCAGGCGCGGCGTCCACGCTCCGCAGGCGCTCCGCAGGGCCTCGGCCGCCGCCCGCAGGCCGGGGAGCCCCATGCGCGGCCGCAGGGGGACACGCGCGCGCCACTCCGGACCTCCCCGGGGTCCCCGATGCTCCGCGCCCCCTGACCCCGGGCTGACCTCTGATCTCCCAGTCAGTTCCCCGACTTCTCCTCCCGCCCCACCCACCAGCTTTCCCTCGGAAGTCGGGGACACCCGGCCAAGCCCCGCGGGGACCGGAGGGGCGCGTCCCACCCGGCCCCACTCACGGACTGAACTCGCGCAGGACCACGTGGACGAAGGCGGAAGTGCAGCGCGCACGGCCACGGCGGCCGAGCGTGGACAAAAGTCCTCCGGGGCGGGGCTCGGAGTAGAGTAGCAGTGGTGGGCGTGGCTAAGGCTTGGCTGGGCGGGGCTTGGAGTGGAGTGTGGGCGGTGGGAGTGGCTAAGGGTGAGCTGGGCGGGGCTCGGAGTAGAGTAGGAGCGGTGGGCGTGGCTAAGGCTTAGCGGGGGGGGGGGGGGGGCCTTGACGTGAGTGTAGGCGGGGCTTGGTAGGGGCGGAGCTTGCGGGCTGCCGACTCCAGGTAGGTGGCAGGCCGCCGTGACTGCGGCTGCGCAGGACTCCTTAGCGCGAACCTATGGTCCTGGCTGGGCTACGCGGGTAAACGCGTGCCTCTCCAGGGCGACAACACTGATCCGTCACCTAACGGCCAGCCATGGAGTCACAGATGCCCTGCCAGAGAGGAATCGGAAGCACGGATGCCCCTTGCCACGTGGGCGCGCTTGAAAACGTGATGCTCAGCCGAAACTGGTGTCGCTCAGTGGATAGAGTGTCGACCTGCGGTCTGAAGGGTCCTGGCTTGGATTCCGGTCAAGGGCATGTACCTTGGTTGTGGGCACATCTCTCTCCTCGATGTTTCTAACTCTCTATCCCTCTCCCTTCCTCTCGGAAGGGAGGGAGGGAGGGAGGGAGGGAGGGAGGGAGGGAGGAAGGAAGGAAGGAAGGAAGGAAGGAAGGAAGGAAGGAAGGAAGGAAGGAAGGAAGGAAGGAAGGAAGGAAGGAAAAAGAAAAGAAAAAAGAAAAGAAAATGAGATGCTCAGATCCAAAGAGGTCCCATCCAAAGGCCGTGTGGAGCGGACACCGGGTGTGTGAAATGTCCAGAGCAGGCACATCGGAGGCAGGAAGTGGGTTAGTACGTGCTGACAACTCCACTAGCTCAGGAGTCAGACCCAGGGGGAAAGAGCTCACCTGCACCAAACGACCCCCCAAGACACCCTTCTCTCTGCAGAAGCAGCAGCTGCCCTTCCTGTTCCCGGGGTGAGGAACGTCAAGGTCACCTGTGACCCAGGGGGCCCAGGTGGCTGGCTGAGCAGCGTTAGGCAGCATCCGGCCTCCCTCACCCAGAGCACTCCCACCTCCACCACACAGCCCGGCCCTCGCACCTGCTCCCTCCTCCACCCCACCAGCTACAGCGGACGATCCTGCACCTCCTCCGTTCCACGGCGGGTAAACCGAGACCTGAGGTTGGGACAGACAAGCCGGAGGCCACAGCTGGATACAGGGCGGGGGGGCCCCAATCCCAGCCCTCCTGACGGAGGGCCCCTCGAGGGCCTGGCAGCTGTAAAGGAGCCAGGAACATGCAGGGAACTTCGGGACCCTCCCACATGGACCACGGACCCCCAGGCCCAGCACTCCGGGGCCTCCCACCCCGTCACCGTCGGGCTCCTGCTCAGGGATGTTTAAAACAACCTCCTTCATGTTCCTAACACTTGGGAGCACCAAGATGTCTTCAGCAGGTGCACGGGGTTAAGTAGCCATTTTGAAAAAGAGCTTTGCCCAGCCAGCATGGCTCAGCGGTGGAATGTCAGCCTATGAACCAGGAGGTCACATAGTTAGAGTCCCAGTCAGGGCACATGCCCCAGGTTGTGGGCTTGATCCCCAGGAGGGGGCGTGCAAGAGGCAGCCAATCAGTGATTCTCTCACCATTGATGTTTCTCCCTCTCCCTTCCTCTCTGAAATCAATATATATATATATATATATATATATATATATATATATATATATATGTATGTATACATACTAGAGTCCTGATGTAGGAAAATCCGTGCAAGATTTTCCTTCCCGGAGCTGCTGGCACCGGCTTCCTGCGTCCAGCCACCTGCAGGCACCTGGGACCAGGGCTGGCTTCCCTCCAGCCCAGCTTTGTCAGGAAGGATGTGTGGAAGATGCCCGGTCTAATTAGCACATCACCCTTTTATTATCATAGATTTTAAGTTTAGCAACAACAAAACGCCAGGGCTGCCTCCACCCCTTTGGGCATCAGGAGCCCACAGAGCAGCCGGGCGGGTCCCGCCCGGTCCCCGCCCGGCTGGGCTTCCTGTCTGGAGGGGCTGTGCACTTGAGGAAGCCGCCCAGGGGCCCCACCTTCACTTCCTCCAGCGCTGCCTCTCCGTGAACTTTCGCTTCACATTGTGGTGAGCCTTTTTGGTCACTTAGGCTATTTTTAACTAATGTAGTTGAAAAAAAATGCAAAGACTACCACTCAGCATTAGAAAGAGGTACCACCGGGTTTAAGAAAAGGCCTCGGGCCACAAACAGACATTTCTCCGAGGAAGATGTAACCTGGCCAACGAGGGAGATGCTCGGTCACCAGTCACCCAGGAATGGGCAAGCCTACCTCACAGTGTGCGCGGGGGAATCAGCATGGAGGCTGGGGGGTGGGGAAATGGGGGAATAAGGACACATACATAATACCTTAGTCAATGAGGAAAAAAACGATTAAAAAAGAACGGAGACTGACCAGCCCTGTGAGGATGTGGGGAAAGCGGGTGGGGACGGAAGGGGCGTGGCGCCCTGCAGTCTGGCGCTGGGTCCCTGCACATGACCCCCCCGCCCCCCGCCCCCCGCCCCCAAAGGCAGGCGTCCCAGGCAAGCAGGTCCCACTGGGACATGGCCAGGGGCCTGTGTGCGGGCCCGTCCAAGGTGCCACAGGACGCTGGCGGGGTGGGGGGGAGGGGGAGGGCAGGGGAAGCTGCAGCAGGCCTGGAACAGTGGCCAGCAATCATCAGTGACAGCAGCTCAACAATTCCAAAGGTTTATTTCCTTAAACGGTATTACACAATTAACACAACAGGCGGGACCACGGGATCCCCCTGAAGTAGCCCGGGCGAGTGCCGTCTCCCGGAGAGACCGGCTGGCACGGCCCGGAGGCACGCGGGCACGCTGGTGCCACGAGTGAGGAGCAGGAAGGGGGCCCCTCCGCAGCACCAGCCTCCCAGCAGCCGAGTCCCCCGACCGCCCGTAAAGCAATAAATAGGAGCATGTCCTGTGCGGCCAGGAGAGCAGTCACAGGGCTTCTTCCGAGTCCGACAGCGGCACTCTTCAAGTAGTATTGCGGAGGAACACCCGAGACCTGTGGGTCTGAGCTGTAGACCTCGAACCCAGGCCAGTGCCGGGACTCCCCTGGGTGCCCCCCAAACTCCGGGGGCGCACTCACGGGCGAGGCCCTAAGCCCAGAAGGTGGCTCCCTGCCCCTCTGATAGCAGCGGGACCTGGGGGGTGGGGAGGGGGTGAGGGAATTTAACATAAAAACCGACTGGGACGGCCAGATGGGGAGGTTTTTGCACAAACACCCCCTCACCAGCCCCGTCTGTGGCAGGAGCCCCACGCCTACAGGTGAGACAGCGGACACCCAGCCGTGCCATCTGACACTACGCGTCTCTCCTTTAAACAAGAGCTGCGGGTAAGACACGTTCGTAGTGAAGTGTGAGGACTGCCACGCCTGCTGGGAAGCTCGGTGCGCCCTATGTGTGTCCCCAAGAACATTAAATAGGACGCTGTGCTGGGCGCACAGCATGTATGTGTGTGTGTGTGTATACGTATGTACAGGCGCCGAGGGCGCGGGGGCCGGGCCGGCCTGGTAAAGTGCTCGTGCCTCACGAGGCGGGTGGTCTTGGGGAGGGCCGGCCGGCGGGCTGCAGGCTTTGGCTAGTGGGCCCTCGGGGGCGGCCGGGGCGCTGGGCCGGACCGGGCCGAGTCTGTGTGGCCCCCCAGTGCCCCACACCCCGCGCCAGCCGGAGCCCGGAAACAGCCGTGGCTGCAGACCCAGCTCCGGGCCGGGCTCCGGGCTGCCTCGCAGCCCTCCCCGGGGCCCGCAGAGAAGTCCGGCCGCTGGCCCAGCAGGCAGGCTCCAGGTCAGGCACGCCCGGTCAGCAGGGCCCGGTCAGCAGGGCCGAGAGTCTCCGCTCGATGCACAGCTTGCCTGCGGGAGGAGGCCGGTGAGTGCCGCCCGCCCGCCCGCGCGCCCGCCGTGCCCGCCCTGCGGGAGCCGCGCTCACACTTGGCGATGTTCTCCACGTCGGTGGGGTCCGCCAGCAGCTGCCGCAGCCCCTCCATGAGCAGCAGGGCCTTGTGGTAGCGCTGCACACAGTCCTCCCGGCGGTGGAACATCTCGTCCAGGGCGGCCGACTGCACCTGCCGGCAGAGGTGGTGTCTAACAGGTGCCTGCATGGCCATGGCAGCCGGCTCCGGGCGGCCGGCCGCCGTCACCCCCGGGAGGCAGGCTCTTAACCACCGACCGCCGCCTCAGAAACGGGCGCTGACTCCGAGCTCTTGGGGCAGGAGGAGCCCTGGCCGGAACCGAGTCTCCGGGAGGGAGCGGTCAGGGTGTGCCTGAGCCACGGAGCCCCGCCCGCCCGCGGCCGGCGCTGACCGTGTGCACTGCGTGGCTGAAGAGCAGCTTCTCGGCGGACACGCTCTGGATGCGGTCCAGCAGCCGCTGCTTGTCCAGGAAGAAGCGCTGCAGCCGCTGGCTCAGGCCCTGGCAGGCCAGCACGCTGTCCTTGTACAGCTCGTTCAGCCTCCGCACCACTGCAGGGGGCGGGGAGGGGGCGTCAGCACAGGGCCGTCCGCCCCGGACTCCCGCCTGACCGGCTCCCGGCTCCCCGCTCCCGCCTCCCGCCTGACCGGCTCCCGGCTCCCCGCTCCCGCCTCCCGCCTGACCGGCTCCCGGCTCCCCGCTCCCGCCTCCCGCCTGACGGGCTCCCGGACGCCCGGCCGGCCACGCACCCTGCTTCACCGTGGACGACAGGCAGAGCTTGCCGGCGCGGATCTGGTCGATGGCGGTCTGCAGGCCGGCGGACAGCAGCTCGGCCACCTTCAGGTACAGCACCAGCTGCTCCGCGAAGCTGGGGGCGAAGGCACGTCAGGAGCTGGGGGACACAGCCGCCCCTGGGGGGCCCTGCCCCAGGCCGCCCCCCGCCAGCCGCGGGCACACCCACCCCCACTCGCGGCTCAGCAGGCTGATCTGGTCGGCCACCACGCTCTCCTGCAGCTCGTACTCGGGGCCGCCGGCCGCCTCGCTGGCGCTGCCCTTGAGGGTGGCGATCTCCAGGACGAGCTGGACGAAGGCCAGCGTGAAGCGCAGGCCGTGCAGGATCTCCGTGTGCTCTTGCTGGGGCGGGGCAGAGAGCGGCTGGGCCGGGCGTCCAGGGCCTCTGCTCCGCCCGCGCCCGGCCCCGCGCCCCTCCCCGCGCCCCGGCCCCTCGCCCCCTCCCCTCGCCCCGCCCCGCGCCCCGCCCCGCGCCCCGGCCCCTCGCCCCGCCCCCCGCCCCGCCCCCCGCGCCCCTCCCCGCGCCCCGGCCCCTCCCCGCGCCCCTCGCCCGGCCCCGCGCCCCTCCCCTCGCCCCGGCCCCGCGCCCCTCCCCGCGCCCCGGCCCCTCGCCCCTTCCCGCGCCCCGGCCCCTCGCCCCCACCCCGGCCGCGCCCCGCCCCGCGCCCCCACCCCGGCCGCGCCCCGGCCCTCACCTCCATGAGCGTCTCCTCGGGGAGGTCGGGGGCCTCGAAGGTCACGGCCCCCTCCAGGTTGGCGGTGACGGTGTCGGCGAAGCCGCAGCAGTGGCCGGGGGCCAGGGCCTCGGGGGCGGCCTCACCGCAGGCCCCGGCGGCCAGGGGGCGGGCGGAGGCGGAGCCGGCGGAGCTGAGGGAGCTGGAGGAGCCCACTGCGGGGGAGGCCCCGTCAGGACCAGGACCGGCTCCACCTCCCGGAGCCCCTCCGTGACCCAGACGCCACCTGGGCACCGGGACGGGCCTGTGGGTGGCCTGCACTCCGGGCAGCCGTCCTCACCTGAGAACATCCTGGTGCGCAGGCTCTGGGGCGGGGTGGCCCCGCTCGGGGGCGAGCCCACCGTGAACACCACGGGAGAGGGGCTGCTGGCCCCCCCAGCACGGGCGCCCGGCTGCAGGTTCCCTCCAAAGCCAGCAGAGGGCGCTGTGGGCGGGAGAGCCGCTCAGGGAGGTCGGTCCCCCAGGGGGAGGGGGAGGGGGAGGGAGGGAGAGGGGACGAGGGCCCCCCCGGCTCACCGATCTCCATGGGCTTCTCGTGCAGGCTGTCCGAGCTGCCGGAGTCGGGGCCCTGCGCCCCGAACGCGGCCTTCAGGAGCAGGTCGGTGAGGCGGCCGGTGCTGAGGGACCTGCAGGAGTCGGGGGGCAGCGATGAGCCGCGGGTCCAGGCCACTCAGTCCTCCCGCCCGCCCGGGGGCAGCCAGTCACCCCGGACAGACCAGCAGGCCAGAGGGACGGAATGACGGCTCTGTGGGGAGGGGTCCCCGTCACCCTCACCTGCCGAAGGGGCCCTTGGCGTCCTCCGCCGGCCGCAGGCCCGGGCCCAGCGGCTGCGCCGGGAGGGGGCCGGCCTCCGAGAGGTCGGGCAGCGTGCGGTTCCGCGGCCGCGCCAGCAGGGCCAGCAGGTTCTGGGAGCTGGGCGTCTTGGGGAAGTCGAAGGCGGGCACGGCCTGGAGGGCAGTGGGCGCTGAGCACGGCCGGCCGGGGACTTCCTGGCAGCCCGGCAAGATCCACCCGCGTCTCCGGGCCCCGCCCCGAGCACCAAGCCCTGCGGCCCATCCTCCTCCGAGCTGACAAAGCACCGCCCGCGTGTGCACCCACACGCACACGCCGGCACACACGAGCTCAGGGTGGCTGCGGGTTCTGTCCCGTTTCACAGACAGGAACACCGCGTGCACAGCCTGGGAGGGGCGCTCCTCTGAGGGCCACACGGCAGGGCAGGCCTGGCCCTGGGACGGACGCCCGGGCAGACAGCCACCGCAGGCGCGGGGCCGTGGAAGCTGGGCCGTACCTTGGTGGGGGAGCCCAGGATGGGGGGCAGGGGGTTCCGCTGCAGGAAGTCCGGCAGCTTCGGGGAGCCGCGCAGGGGCCGGCAGGACTGGAGCCCGTGGGCCGGCTGGGGGGCGCTGGCCTGCGGGTGGCCGGGCACGGCCCCCGGCGGGTCGGTGGGCGGCTTGGGCAGCTTGGAGTGGACGAGGTGCAGGTCGGACAGGTTGGGGGCGCTGTGCAGGCGGCAGCCCAGCCCCGCGGTGCGGGGCGAGTGCTCGGGCGCCGAGGAGCCTGGAGGGGGCGGGGCAGGCCCGGTCACTGCGGGGCCGGGCAGGGATGAGGCGCCGGCCGCCCGTCACGCCTCCGCCGGCAGCAGCCAGGCCCTGGGAGACCCCGCCGGGCCCCACGGAGGCGCGGGTGGAACCACTTCCTCCCCTCCTGGGACAGGAAGGCAGCCCGCCCCTCCCGTCCCTGTGCCCCTGCCCCTGCCCCTGCCCCTGCCCCGAGCAGACCCTGCATCCCCGACCAGTCCCAGGCCCGGGGCCAGGGCCACACCCACCTGGACGAGGGGACCTGCCGCCCCGCATCTCGGCTCCTTGGGGGGAGGGCACCCCGCTCCATCCCAGCCGCTCCGGGATGGTTCCAACTTGGAGGAAAGGGGCGCAGGGTCAGTGCCGGGCGGAGAGGACACCCACCCCGCCCCTCCCCCGCCGGGCCGCCCCCGCACGGACTCACCTTGTGGGGACAGGGTACAGGGCCGGCCTCCGCCCAGGGACAGCTTCCTGGCCAGGCCGGCTCCGTGCTCCGCGTGGGACGGGGGTGACGGGCTGGCCCGGGCGAAGCCCCGGGGGCTGGTGCTGCCCGACCTGCGGATAGCGGAGGACCTGGGGGCGGGGACCGGCCGGGAGTGAGCCAGGCCCTGCCTGCCGGACGGCTCGGCCCGGCCCTGCTGGGAGGAGGACGACGACGACGGGGGGGGGGAGCCCCAGGGAGCCCCTTCGTCCCAGGGCCCTCTGCCTGACAGAACGGAGCCCTCGTCTGCTGGAAACTGCCACCACAGCCGACCCTGGCTTGTGAACTCAGGACACTTGGCAACTCTGCAGATGGCTGTCACCTGGACACTCGCTGTCTGGGTGTGTGGCTCTGCAGCGCTGCTCACTAGCCTTGCTGCCTGGCTCTTGTGCGTACACACACACGTGCACACGCACACGCTCACCGTGGGGCCTGGAACTGGGTCGGGGACTGCAGGTTCTGCTCGATGCGCTGGTAGTTCTGCACCTGGGTGGGCACGGGGATGGGCACCGACGCCCCGCACCGGCTGCTGGAGAAGGGGCCGGGCCGGCTGCGGGTGGCAGACGGGGCGGGTCACCTGGACGGCCACCAGGCTGACCCCAGCTCGGCCCTGTCTGGGCAGATGGCTGCTCAAAGCCCCCACCCCTGCGCCCGGGCCTCTGGTCAGGAGCCGCCGGCACACTCGGCAGAAGGAGGGACTGGGGGCAGGGAGGCCCAGGGGTCCCCGTGGTCCCCGCAGCCGTCCACCCGGACACCACGGTCCCTCCCACGGGACCACGGCGAGGGCTGGGGAGCCTGGCTCTGGCCGGCCCGGCCCGCTTACCCCGAGGGGCTGGGGGAGCCGCTGCAGGGCGGGGACGGAGACGGGGTGCGGCCGTGGCTCTCCAGGCCAGCGGAAGCCACCAGGGAGCTCCTGGGGGGAACAGACAGACAGGAGTGGGCGTGTGCAGACCCCGCTGTCCCGGGTCAGGAGACTCAGCCCTCCCCGAACGCTGACCCCCCCACGGGGTTACCCACACTCTCCCGAGGCGGCTGGCCTACCCGCTGCACATGAGGCTGTCCGGGGGGGGCTTGCCGCCGGCCGCCTCGGCCACCAGGTCGCCTGCGGACGGAGACGGGCGAGCTGGGCCCAGGCCGGAGTGTCCACGCCCTCCCAGACCACCTCCCCAGGGCCTCCCGACAGCCCCACCTGGGACCCGACAGAGGCGGGCCGGGCGGGCCACGCACCAGCCCACACCCCTCACCCCCGGACCTGGGAGCTGGGCCGGCACCATGACGAAGTCGTCCGTGTCGCAGGACGAGTCCTTGCTGCTGCCGCCCGAGTCGCGGGAGCCGTGCAGGAAGCCGGCGGCCTCGGCCGGGGAGATGAGCGTCTTCTGCAGCTGCGGCATCTCGCCCAGCGACTGGGCCCGGGGAGTCGGTGAGCCCGGCCGGCCGACACGCTGGCCGGACCCCCGGGCCCACTCCCCCCCTCTGAGACCACCCCCCGGCTGGCCGGACCCCCGGGCCCACTCCCCTCCCCTCTGAGACCACCCCCCGGCTGGCCGGACCCCCGGGCCCACTCCCCTCCCCTCTGAGACCACCCCCCGGCTGGCCCGGACCCCCGGGCCCACTCCCACCCTCTGAGACCACCCCCCGGCTGGCCGGACCCCCGGGCCCACTCCCCCCCTCTGAGACCACCCCCAGCTGGCCGGACCCCCGGGCCCACTCCCCTCCCCTCTGAGGCCACCCCCAGGCTGGCCGGACCCCCGGGCCCACTCCCCTCCCCTCTGAGACCACCCCCCGGCTGGCCGGACCCCCGGGCCCCCTCCCCCCTCCCCTCTGAGACCACCCCCGGCTGGCCGGACCCCCGGGCCCACTCCCCTCCCCTCTGAGGCCACCCCCAGGCTGGCCGGACCCCCGGGCCCACTCCCCTCCCCTCTGAGGCCACCCCCAGGCTGGCCGGACCCCCGGGCCCACTCCCCTCCCCTCTGAGACCACCCCCCGGCTGGCCGGACCCCCGGGCCCCCTCCCCCCTCCCCCTCCCCTCTGAGACCACCCCCGGCTGGCCGGACCCCCGGGCCCACTCCCCTCCCCTCTGAGGCCACCCCCCGGCTGGCCGGACCCCCGGAGCGGCCGCGGGCACTCACCGGGGGGGAGGCCAGGTGGGAGGTGGAGCTGCTGCTGGAGCTGCTGCCGGAGCCGGAGCTCGGGTACGAGGGCACAGGCACGGGCGGGGCTGTGGGCCGGGCGGTCAGTCCCCGCCTTCCCTGCCCCCCCTCTGCTGCGGACAGCTGCCCGGCACAGAGGGACCAGCTCCCACCCCCGCCCCCGCCGCCCCCAGGCCCGAGGGGTGAGCCGGGGGCGAGGGGCCCTCAGGGACTCACACTTCTTCACTGAAGCGCTGGCATCGAGGAAAGGGTGACGGAAAAACTCATCTGCAGGAGGGGAGCAAGACCTCAGGACCCAGCCCTGGCCTTCAGGGGAGAAGGCTCCCCCCGAGCCCCAGCTGGCCTGGCCCCGGGCGCAGGCAGAGCCCCGGGGACGCCTGAGTGTCTGGCCCAGGCCCAGCGGCCGGCCTGGTTCCCCCACCCCTCCCCCTCCCCCTCCCCCACCCCTCCCCCTCCCCCACCCCTCCCCCTCCCCCCTCCCCCCGGCCCGGCCTGGTTCCCCCACCCCTCCCCCTCCCCCCTCCCCCGGCCTGGTCCTCCCATCCCCTCTCCCCCCCCCCTCCCCCGGCCTGGTCCTCCCATCCCCCCCCCCCCCCGGCCTGGTCCTCCCATCCCCTCCCCTCCCCCTCCCCCGGCCCCGCCTGGTCCTCCCATCCCCTCCCCCTCCCCTCCCCCCTCCTCCAGAGGAGGGGCCTGGCCTGGTCCTCCCATCCCCTCCCCTCCCCCTCCCCCGGCCCCGCCTGGTCCTCCCATCCCCTCCCCTCCCCCTCCCCCGGCCCCGCCTGGTCCTCCCATCCCCTCCCCCCCCTCCCCCAGAGGAGGGGCCTGGCCTGGTTCTCCCATCCCCTCCCCCTCCCCCTCCCCCGGCCCGGCCTGGTCCTCCCATCCCCTCCCCCTCCCCCGGCCCCGCCTGGTCCTCCCATCCCCTCCCCCTCCCCCTCCCCCGGCCCCGCCTGGTCCTCCCATCCCCTCCCCCCCCCCCTCCCCTGGCCCCGCCTGGTCCTCCCATCCCCTCCCCCTCCCCTCCCCCGGCCCCGCCTGGTCCTCCCTCCCCTCCCCCTCCCCCTCCTCCAGCCCCGCCTGGTCCTCCCATCCCCTCCCCTCCCCCCCCTCCCCGGCCTGGTCCTCCCATCCCCTTCCCCTCCCCTCCCCCCTCCCCCAGAGGAGGGGCCCGGCCTGGTCCTCCCCTCCCCTCCCCCCCCTCCCCCTCCCCCGGCCTGGTCCTCCCCTCCCCTCCCCCTCCCCCGGCCCCGCCTGGTCCTCCCATCCCCTCCCCTCCCCCCCCCTCCCCCGGAGGAGGGGCCCGGCCTGGTCCTCCCCTCCCCTCCCCTCCCCCCCCTCCCCCGGCCCGGCCTGGTCCTCCCATCCCCTCCCCCTCCCCCTCTCCCTCCCCCGCCTGGTCCTCCCATCCCCCCCCCCCCCCCCGGAGGAGGGCCCGCACCGAAGTCCATGCGGTCCTTGTGGTTGCGCTGCAGCAGGGCCAGCAGCAGCTGCCTCAGGGGGGCCGAGGTCTCCCGGGGGATGCTGGGGGCAGAGGGCAGCAGGTCAGCGGGGCTGGGGGCCTGAGGGGCGGGCCGGGCCGGGCCGGGCCGGGCGGGGCGGGGCTTACATGGGCACCAGGGTCTTGTTCTTCTCGTAGAAGAGGCGCAGGTCCTGGGGGCTGCTGGCCTGGGGGGGACGGGGGGAGGCGTGGAGCTGGCAGCTGCGCCATCGGGTGCCCGGCTGGGGCAGGAGCCCGCTCCCCTCTGCGACGTCCTCCCCCCCCCCGGCAGCTGAGGAGCGTGGGGCCGGCAGGGGGCAGCCGCGGCCCGCGCTGTCTAAGAGGCAGCTGGCCCTGGGGACCCCAGGGGTCTGGTGCAATTGGGCGTTTGCTCCTTGAAATCGAGGGCTTACCCACGCCCCCACCCGAGAAGCTGCGCCGGGCACCCACCTGGAAGGGCGCCTTCCCGGTCAGGCACTGGTACACGATGGTGCCGATGCTCCATAGGTCCGCCTTCCCGTCGTAGTGCTGCGACATGATGACCTCGGGGGCCTGCGGGCGACAAGCACGGGGTCAGGGCCTCGGCAACAGCAGACACCGAGTGAGCACTGACCTCGTGTGGAGCCAGCCAATCAGAGCAGACACCAGCCAGGTGCCAGCCAATCAGAGCAGACACTCATGAAGTGCCAGCCAATCAAAACAGACACCAGCCGGGACCGGTTTGGCTCAGTGGATAGAGCATCGGCCTGCGAACTGAAGGGTCCCGGGTTCGATTCCAGCCAAGGGCATGTGTCTTGGTTGCGGGCACATCCCCAGTGGGGGGTGTGCAGGAGGCAGCTGGTTGATGGTTCCCTCTGTCCCTCTCAATTCCTCTCTGTGTAAAATCAATAAAATATATTAGAAACAAAACAAAACAGATACCAGCCAGGTGCCAGCCAATCAGAGCAGACACCCATGAAGTGTCAGCCAATCAGAACAGACACCAGCCAGGTGCCAGCCAGTCACCACAGCCGTGGTGGGGAACAATGGGACAGCCACACTGGCTGACCACCCCAGTGCGGCCACAGGACAGCGGCTGTGGGCAGGGAGGGGCAGGCCGGGGCGGGGAGGGCAGGCGGGGGGGGGGGGGGGGCAGGCAGGGGCGGGCTGGGGCGGGGAGGGGCGGGGAGGGCAGGCTGGGGCGGGGAGGGGCAGGCTGTGGGTGAGGAAGGGCAGGCCGGGGCGGGGAGGGGCGGGCCGGGGCGGGGAGGGCAGGCCGGGGTGGGGAGGGGCGAGCTGTGGGTGAGGAAGGGCAGGCCGGGGCGGGGAGGGCAGGCCGGGGCGGGGAGGGGCAGGCCGGGCCGCACCTACCATGTACATGGGGGAGCCGCAGAGCGTGGCGGCCATCATGTTGCTCTGCAGGTAGCGGGCGAAGCCGAAGTCGGCTGCGGGAGAGGACGGGTGAGCGGAGGCCGTGGGCAGGCAGCCCTCGCGCCCGCGCCCGCGCCCGCGGCCCGGCTCACCGATCTTGACGCGGATGTTGTTGGGGTTGGCGCGGCGGCCGCCGGGGTTGGACAGCAGGATGTTCTGGGGCTTCAGGTCGCGGTGGATGATGCCCTTGCTGTGCAGCAGCCGCATGGCGCCCGCGATCTGCTGCAGGAAGAGCCGGATGGTGTCCTCGCTCAGCGTGCGCATGGCTGTGGGGAGACGGGGCTCAGGGTGCGGCCACGTGTCCGGTCCATCCGAGGCCGCCCGGGGCCGCCCGCCCAGCCCTGACCCCGGCAGTCACCCCCGGCAGCTCCCTGCGGCTGCCCACCACCCGCTCCTCAGTGTGGGGCTGGTCAGGGTGTGGGCAGGGCCCCGGCCGCGGGCCACTCACTGTGCAGGTAGTCGGCCAGGTCCCCGCCGTTGCAGTACTGCAGGAGACAGACAGCCCCACGCCCGTCAGTGCCGGCACCTCCAGCCCTGCCCGTCTCCCCACCGCCCCTGCTGGCCTCGGTGCTGCCCCCCGCCCCTCAGGCAGGTAGCCGGCAATCCACGCCTGAGCAGGTCCGCAGGGTGCTCCCCGGACACAGGGCGAGGGCAGTGCAGCCCGCCCACCTGCCCGGGCGGGAGACAGGGGTCCCAGAGCCGGGGGGCCGCGGGGACTCACCTCCATGACCAGGTAGACGGAGTTGGCCATTTCCTGCGGACAGAGGGGAGGCGTGAGAGGGCGGGCAGCCGTGGGGAGCCGGTCTCAGGCGTGTGGCCTGGGCACTGGGCGCCGTGGACACGCCACCTGGGCCGCGGGCAGGAGCCGCCAGTGAGCTTGGCGCCAGCTGCCGGGGGCCTGCGTGCCAGGCTCAGCCAGCTGGTCGGCGGCAGGAGACAGGACAGGGGAGAGCCAAGTGGGCTCTGGTGTTTGGGTTTTGAGGTCACTTCCCTGAGTGGCAGGAGCAGGAGCCAATCAGAACATTCATCTGCCAGGTCTGGGGGAGGGGCTGAGGTCCCAGGAGAGGCCTCAGAGTGGGGTGTGGACCCCGCCTCCCGGTGCAGCCCTCAGCCGCCCGGCCAGACCAGGCCTGGGGCTGGGCCAGGGCTCAGCCTGCTGCTCGGAGTGACGCATCCTGGCTGGGGACCCACTCGGGGGCCCAGGCCACCCGGGAAGGGACAGGGCCCTCGGTGTGGACGCTGCTGGGACCCAGGTTCCGGAATCAGAGCCACTCAGGCCAGCTCCGCCCGCCCAGGACACGGAGGAGCCGTGCCAGGCTGGCGTGCGGAACCCCAGCTCTTCCCCAGGTGGGGTCCCCCAAAGAGGGCCTCCGTCCGCAGGAACAAGGCCCCAAGCCCGACAGCACCAGCACTGCTGGGCCTGGGAACAGGACCCGCTCCCCGGCCCAGCACCAGGTGAGGGGAGCCCCAAAGCCCTCCAGCGTGGGCCCTGGGGAGGGAGGAGGACAGGGGACCCTCTCAGCAGCCCGCCCCCTGGAGGGCAAGGAGGGAACAGAGCCCCTGGGGACTGGATGTCAGCCCCCCCCCCAGCCCACAGAGAGGGTCCAGGGTGGAGACGCCTCAGGAGCCACTGCGATGTGGGGTGAGCTCTCAGGGCGTGGGGCCGGGCTGGGCACCCCTGGGAGAGGCAGGCTGGCTCCAGCATGCCCACCTGGCGTTAGTCCCCAGGCCTCTCGGTGGGGCGTGCGCCAGCGCGGACGCTGAGGCCGCCTCAGCCCCGCCTGACCCCCCCACAGGCCCCGCCCGCAGGCCGGCTGAGGGGCAGAGATAACAGGGCGGGAGCTGGAGGCCCGTCACCGTCACTGGGGACCGACGAGGGACAGGTCAGAGGTGGCCACAGGAGGCGGGGGAGGCGCTGGCAGAGACCCAGCGGAGGGAGGCAGAGAGGAGCCGGGATACGGACCCAGAAATAACCGGGATTCGGCACGCCCCGGCCACCTGCTCCCTCGCCCTCGCCTGCCCTCACCTTGACCACCACCTCCTGTGAGTGCTGACGTGCTCGCCAACCCCCTCCAGCACCAGCTCTGGGCGCCATGGGCTCCTCGGAGAGGCCAGGGCAGGCCGGCACCGCCAGCTCTCGCCCGTCTTCCCGACGGCTGGCTCCCCCGAAAGCCCTGAGCTCACCACCAAGCAGACGGGCAGGGGCAGCAATCACAGCACCCACCCCGGGAGCTGTCCCCCAGGACAGACAGAGACCCCACACCACTGAGGGGGCCTCCAGATCCACGGCACCCCCAGAGCAGGTCCCTGCGGCACTGACAGCATCCCCTGGTTGTGGGCTCGGAGGCCGGGAGAGGGCAGCCGGGGACGGAGTTTCGAGGGGCCGCCTCCGTGTGACCGGGCCCTGGGAGGACATGTGCCCAGGCCTCCCGATAAGACAGGACACGGCAGGCCAGCTGAGTGTCCTAACCTGCCCTGCCCGCCCGGCCAGCTCCAGGCCAGCGGCAGAAGGCGAGGCCCAGCCACGGGGCCTGAGGCGGCGCCCCAAAGAGCCCGGGTGGCGGGTTCGACTCTGGTCAGGGCAGTGCAAGAACCGCACGGCGGGCGTCAGTGAGAGACCCCGGCGTGGCTCAGTGCTGGGCGTCGGCCTAGGCCAGGAGGTCAGGGTTCGGTTCCTGGTCAGGGCACAGGCCCGGGCTGCCGGCCGTGCGGGAGGCAGCCTGTCTGTGATTCTCTTTCGTCGTTGATGTTTCCGTCTCCCTCTCCCTTCCTCTCTGCGATCAATAAAAATGTATTTTTAAAGACGAGATGCATTCCCCACCCTGGGACGCAGCTGGCAGGGACGAGGAGAGGCCTCCGCACGCGGGCAGCCTGCCGCCCGGCCCGGCCCGGCCTCCACGGACCAGTCTGGCCCCCGTCCTGAGCTCAAAGCACCGTCCCTCTCACCTGGGATGGACTTCTAGGAATCCGCCCACAGACCACGCACTCCCGGCAGAGGCCAGCACCAGCAGGGCCATTCCCACTCGGCGGGATCACCTCCCGCCCCATCGGCCAGCGATCGGACAGGGGGCGAGTGACCGCCTCAGAGCTGCAGCTACAGCCACGGCCACGGCCACGGCCACGGCCACGGCCACGGCCACGGCCGCCCCAACAGCTAACACCCATGCTGTGTCCTATGACCAGTTTCAAACCAAACAACTCTGGGGCCTCAGTCTTAAAGGAAGAGGCGGGGCTCAGAGAGGGTAAGACAGTGGCCCAGGGACACACAGCTAGCTTAAGCTGCAGCGCCGGGACTGGGACTGGGTCTGGGCTCCGGACCACAGGCTTGGCGGCGCTGGCCTCGCTGAGGGCACCCCGGGGTCCTGCTCTTGGGAGGAGGGTGTCACCCATCACACACGGGGTGAGCCGGTTGTGTGGAGTGAGGGGCACCCCTCCAAGAGGCAGGGGGAGGTGGGGAGGGGCGGCGGGGAGGGGGCAGTGAGAATGCCTGCCATGCCCACGCCACCTCGCCGAGACCCAGACTCGGCACACACCTCTGGGGGGTGGGCCCCACCTCCCCCCCCCCCGCCCCCGTCCCGTTTCGTACTTTTTAAAAAAATACATCTCTGTTGGTTTCAGAGAGGAAGGGACAGGGACACAGAGAGAGAAACATCAGTGATGAGAGAGAATCATGGATGGGCTGCCTCCTGCACGCCCCCTGCTGGGGATGGAGCCCGCAACCTGGGCCTGTGCCCTGACCGGGAATCGGACCCGTGACCTCCTGCTACATGGTATGGTGCCCAATCAACGGAGCCACACCAGCCGGGCTTATCCTATTTAAAAAATATATATACTTTATTGACTTCCTGCGGAGAGGAACGGAGTCAGAAACATCATGAGAATCATCGATCAGCCACCTCCTACTGGGGATGTGCCCGCAACCCAGGTACATGCCTCTGACCGGAATCGAACCCGGGATCCCTGTCTGCAGGCCAACGCTCCATCCGCTGAGCCACACGGGTTAGGGCTTAACCTATTTTTAAAAGACCTTCCTCTCCCCCCTCCCAATCCCCCCCACCCCAGTGCCAGACAGGAACCACCACACACACCCCTCAAGGGAGCAGGAGCCTCGCATAGGAGGCAGGCCAGGCCGGGCTCCGAGCACTTCCTCTGTGGGGAAGCCGAGCACTGCCAGCCCTGGAGGAAGTGGCACTGCCCACAACCAGGTGTGCGGCCAGCGGGAGGCGGGGGGGGGGGGGTCCGTCCAGGGGGAGGACAGGGAGGAGGAGGAGGGAGGGGGCCGCCAGGACACAGTGTACCTCCATGCGGGCCGCCAGGCACAGGACCGGGCCCTCCCCGGGGCACCTCACGCTGTGCCACACAAGGGGGGTCCCCCAAGGCCAGGGCCGGCTCTGAGGGGGGTGGGGAGGACAGGGAAGGAGGGAGGCGGCCACCCAAACACAGCCGGCCCGCCCCAGCCGGTCCCGTGGCCTCCGTAAACAGGTTTCAAAACCATTAGTCAGCACTTTGGCCCCATCCGCCGCCGCCTCCGGTTCCCAAGTCCCCACAGGGAGCATCTGGGGTCCCGGACCCCGGCTGAGGCCCCCGCGGCCACCACCTCCACCTCCACCGGGCCCGGGGGACCCGCCTGCTCCCTCCGGGCCAGCCAGGCCTGAGCGGCCTCAGCCCCCAGGCCACCGCCTCCCGCCCGCCCGGCCCCAGGAATCTCCGGCGGCCCCTGCCCTCCCCCCGCTCTGACGCAGAGCCGGGCCGGCCAATGCCGGGCCCCGGAGCAATGTCAACAAACACTGGGCCTGCCCAGACAGGTGGGCCCGGCCGGCGGCGGCCCCATTACCGGGGCCTGGGCCGCAGACAGGACTCCAGGTCAGGGCCACCGGGCCAGACCCCGCGCCAAGCGCCAACCGGGCGGCCCTCCTCCCTGCCAGGGCCGCCGCGGTCGCCCGCTGGGCCCGGCCCGGCCGCCCTTCCCTGGCCGAGCAGGCAGCCGGGGAGGTGGGCTCCCCCCGGCACGGCTGAGGGAGCGGGCTCACCACAGCGTCCGGGTTCCCAGGCTCCCGCGTCCGGCCAGATGGGGAGGCCCGGCCCCTTCCCCCAACACGGCCGCGGGCCCCGCAGTGCCCGGGGGACCCTCCCCACCAGGACGGGGACCCCGGCGGAGCCGGAGCTCCTGGCTCTTACCTGGAAGTCGTACAGAGCCACGATGTTTTCATGTTTCAGTTCCTAGGACAGAACCCCAAGTTTCCGGTGAGCGGCGGAGCGGGGCTCCCCCGCGGCCTCGCCCTCCACCGGCCTCGCCCCTCCTGCCTCGGGCCCCCCAGTCCCCCCCCCTCACCTTGAGGATCTTGATTTCCTTCCCCAGCAGCGTCTGGGACTTGGCCAGGTTCTTCTTGTTAATGCACTTGACCGCGACCTCCAGGTCGTGCTTCTGAGAACCCAAAGGGCTGCTTTCAGTCGGGGAGCCAGGGAACCCCTTCCCGCAGGCAGCCCCCCGTCCAGGGACCGGCTGGCGAGTCCGGGCACCGGGCTGGGAGGGTGCCCGGGCCGGGAGGGTGCCCGGGCCGGGAGGGTGCCCGGGCCGGGAGTGGAGAGGAGGGGGTCCCCGGGGAGGGGGAGATGTATGTGGGGGTCCCCGGGCCCTGGGGGCGGAGGGGTCCCGGGACTGGGGGTGAGGGGGTCCCCGGCCCCACATCACCTCGCGGTGGCGCCCCTTGAAGACCACCGCGAAGGCGCCGTGCCCGATCAGGTCCTTGCGCGAGAACTCGAACTTGCCCACGGTCTCCATGCCGCCGCGGCCGGGCTCCATGGCGCGGGCCGGGGCGGCGGGCGGGCCGGGCTCAGGCCGGGGGCCGCGGGCGGGGGGCGCGCGCCATCGGCCAGGCCGGGCCCGCTCCCAGCCCGGCCGCCGCTCGGATCCCGCTCCCCGACGACCCGGTTCCGACACGGTCTCCGCTACGGTTCCGACTGGGGCGACAGACGACCCGGTTCGGACGGGGCTCGGCCTCGGCTCGGCCCGGCGGCGGGGAAACAAAAGAGCCGCGGCCGCAGGGCCCGGAGCCTCAGACGCCCGCGCACGCGCACTGAGCGCCGAGGGCGGCGGGCGCGGTGGGGGTGGGGTGGGAGCTGGGGGCGGGGCCTCGGCCGGCGGGGCGGGGCCTTGGGGGCGGGGCCTGGCGAGCGGCCGTGCGCTTACTGGGAGGCAGGGCTGGTGAGGGGGCGGGGCCTGTTGGATGGGGCGGGGCGGGCCGGAGGGGACCTGGGCTTGCACTGGGTCAGGCGCTGGCGTGGGCGGGGCCTTCCGGGGGGCGGGGCCTGCTGGGAGCATGGCTGGCTGGGGCGGGGTCTAGTCGGGGGCGGGGCCTGCTGGGAGCGTGACGGGCGGGGGCGGGGCCAGCCGCGGCGTGCTGGGCCCTGTGTTCCCTCCAGGCTGCCGGTTCGCCATAATCACACCTGGGTCTTGGCACGCGCACCCCGAGGCTGGGGAGCGGGAAGAATACATTCTTAGGGGGAGAACAGCCGTGAGAAAATTATTCTCTCTTTTAAAAAAATTTTTACATGCATTTATTGATTTTGGAGAGGATGGGAGAGAGAGAAACATCCGTGTTGAGAGAGAATCACGAATCAGCTGCCTCCTGCACGCCGCGCCCCCTGGGATCGAGCCTGCCACCCGGGCCTGTGCCCTTGGCGGGAATCGAACCCGGGACCCTTCAGTCCCGAAGGCCAACGCTCTATCCGCTGGGCCACACTGGCCAGGGCAAGAAGGTTATTCTCTTAAGATTGTTGGCTAAAGGTCACCCAAACCTGGGAAATGGCCCCCCAGTCTGGCCGGGAGGAGAGGGTAGGTCAGTCCCAGGGGAAGGACACATGGCAACCTCAGAGAAAGGTGCTCACAGAGTTTGTAATTTTGTAATTAAGTGAAAGCCAGACACACAGCAGGAAGTCCCTCCACCACAGACAACAGTGTGGAGGTTCCCAGAGGGAGGGGGGGAAGGAGAGGGCGGGAGGGGCTGAGTGATGGTGACGTGACGTGGGCGGTGGACACGGCACCACATACCGATGACACACGATAGAATTATGCACATGGAACCTGTATGGCTTCACTAAGCACCGTCATCCCAATACATTCAATAAAAAATACATTAAAATAATTTTAAAAGAGAAAGCCACTCGAGGGGGGTGACTTTCTCACGTGCTTATAGGCCAGTGGTCGGCAAACTCACCCGTCCACAGAGCCAAACATCAGCAGCACAACGATGGACATGTCTTTGGAGGGCCACATTTTTTAAACGTAAACTTCTTCGAACGCCACGTCTTCAACACAGACTCGCACAGGCCGGGGAGTTTTGTGGAGGAGCCACACTCCAGGGGCCAAAGGGCCGCGGTTTGCCGACCGCGGTTAAAGGCCGTTGGGGAGTCTGCTCTGAACGTGTCTATTCAGGTCCCCGGACGGGGTGTGCGCTGGAGAGAGGGGTCCTTCTCTCTCCACCCGGATAGTCAGCACCTGTTTCGGTAAATCGGGTTCCCCGGACCCCAGCCACGCCCACTCCCTGTGGGTCCGCAGGGATTGTGGTCCGGCCCTTCTAGGAACAGGTTAGGTCCCGGCCTTGAAGAAATCCTCAGGGGAGAGGCGTGAGTATTAAAGGACACTCCAAGGTGACAAGGAAAGACCCTCCTGCCTCCTTATCGACAAGTTCTAGATTGGTTTTTTTGTTTTCCAAATATCAAATGTTGTTCCCCCTGGGACCCTCCCCAGTTCCCCAGGGCACAATGCCCAGAGGGGGACCCACCTCAAAGGCTCCAGAGACTCTGCCCGGGGCGGTCCCTTCCCACAGCCCTGAGGGCTGAGGCCTGAGTTCCCCAACCCCCAGGCCTGAGCCAGAGTCAGTATTCCCCCGGAACTCGCAGACCTTTCAGTCCGCAGACCAACGCTCTTTCCAATGAGCCAAACCAGTTTCCGCAGAAGAAGTTTAAGTTTAAAAAATTTGGCTCTGCTGAAACCGGTTGGCTCAGTGCTCAGTGGATAGAGCGTCAGCCCGTGGACTCAAGGGTCACAGGTTTGATTCCGGTGAAGGGCATGTACCTTGGTGGCGGGCACATCCCCAGTGGGGGGTGCAGGAGGCAGCTGATGGATATTTCTCTCTCACTGACGTTTCTAGCTCTCTATCCCTCTCCTTTCCTCTCTGTGGAAAATCAATAAAATATATTCTTTAAAAAAATTAGGCTCTGGCCAAAACCGGTGTGGCTCAGTGGATAGAGCGTCGGCCTGCGGACTGAGGGGTCCGGGGTTTGATTCCGGTCAAGAGCATGTACCTTGGTTGCGGCCACATCCCCAGTGGGGGCTTTGCAGGAGGCAGCTGATGCATGTTTCTCTCTCATTGACGTTTCTAGCTCTCTCTCCCCCTCCCTTCCTCTCTGTAAAAAAAAAAAATCAATAAAGTATATTTTTTTTAATTGGCTCTGAAAAGAAATTTCCATTGTTGTCCCGTTGATACTTGGCTCTGTGGACAAATGAGTTTGCCGACAGTGCCCAAGGATATTTGTCCATTGATTTTTTTAGAGAGTAGAAAGGGGAGGGAAAGACAGAGATAAACATTGATGTGGGCGGAGCCTGCCACAGAGGTACGTGGCCCTTGACCCTTATGGAACCCGGGGGACCCTATGGCCCGCAGGCCTGCGCTCTGCCCACTGAGCCACACCGGCCAGGGCCGAGCTGGAGGTCTCCGCCCTCGGGAGGCGGCCAGTCACGTCCAGGGGGACGGCTGGAAGGGTGACAGCCAGGAGCTCAGTCCCGGGATGGCGGCTGGCAGCCCGCCCCCACCGGCCCCGAGGCCAGAGGGCATGGCTGCACCCGTGTCTCCCGACATGGGCCGTACCCGCCTGCCGGCCCAGCCAGCCCCCCTCCTGGGCACGGACATCCTCGGTCCAGGACACCAGGAAATGTGCTCCGCGTGGCCGGAACCCGGAAACAGACGGCGGTCGCCAGGCGACGGGGAAACAAACGCTCATCTCTGAAGCACTTCACGCAAAAAACGGGAGAAGCCAGCCCCGGCCCGGGTGGCTGAGTGGGTGGAGCGTCAGCCTGCGGACGGAAGGGTCCCAGATTCGATTTCAGTCAAGGGCACATGCCCGGGTTGCAAGCTCGTGCAGGAGGCAGCTGACCGATGATTCTTTCTCATCATTTATGTTTCTTTATATATATATATATATATATATATATATATATATATATATATATATATATATATATATATATTGATTGATTGATTGATTTCAGAGAGGAAAGGAGGAGGAAAGAGGAACAGAAACATTAATGATGAGAGAGAATCATGGATGGGCTGCCTCCTGCACAGCCCCATACTGGGGATCAAGCCCCCAACCCAGGCCTGTGCCCTTGGCCAGAATTGAATCTGGGACCCCCCAGTCTGGAGGCTGATGCTCTATCCACTGAGCCACACCAGCCATGGTTATCCTTGTTTTCCTCTCTGAAACCAATAAAATATATATTTTTTAAAATGCCAGGTGTACCAGTTACTAATGCGGATTTCCCCAATAGATGGAGTCACACGTATGTTGATATCCATGCGATGTGATGTGTGTGCTGTGTTGCTGTCTCGCTCCTTCAGAGGACCCGTGTTCCCATCGACGGCACACGCCTGTGTGAGCGGCACTTCCACACGGACGCAGACGTGGACAGTGGGGTCTCCGCATGGTCTGCCCCGAACAAGGACAGTTCTATTGGGACGGTGCCCACCAGTGACCTGGAAGATGGGGAATGTGTGGCTGGCGACGGACATCGCTTTGGATAAAGCACTTTTGATGTTTCTCTTGAAATTATATTGTTTTCTTTGGTTACAAAATCCACTTTTTAAAATATATTTTATTGTTATTTTACAGAGAGGAAGGGAGAGGGATAGAGTTAGAAACATCGATGAGAGAAACTTTGATCAGCTGCCTCCTGCACACCCCCCACTGGGGATGTGTCCTTGACTGGAATCGAACCTGGGACCCCTGAGTCCACAGGCTGACACTCTACCCACTGGGCCACACCGCTTTTGGCCAAAATCCGCACTTTTAACCGGCTGAGGGATGCGGGCTGGCCGGGAGCCTGCCGCTGGCCGGACCGGTTCCTGCAGAGGCTGCAGCTGGTGCCCAGGCCCCGTGCCCTCTGCGTGGTGACTCAGCGGCCATGACAGGAGCTGCTGGCATGGGCGGCGGCCCTCACGAGCCTCACAGGACATCCGAGAGGCACGCAGCTGCCACGGCCGCCGCTGCCCGCTCCGTCACTGCGGGCCGGGACTTCCCCAGCTCCGGGCGCCGCCTCCCCGCCCGGCAAACCTGCTCTCCCTCCGTCCGCAGCCCGTGGCACAGGTGTGTCCTGGTGACGCGGCCGCTGCGGGCTTCCTCCTCTCAGAGACCGGCTTCCTTCCCCTCCCGGGTCCCCCTGCCGGCCGCCCAGTCCCGTGTGTGTGTGTGAGCATGTGTGTGTGGATGTGTGCGCGCGCGTGTGTGTGAGAGAGAGCATGTGTGTGAGAGCATGTGTGTGAGTGTGTGTGCGAGCGTGTGTGAGAGCATGTGTGTGTGAGTGAACATGTGTGTGAGTGTGTGAGAGCATGTGTATGTGAGTGAGCGTGTGTGTGAGCATGTGTGAGCACGTGTGAGACCATGTGTGTGTGAGCGTGTGTGTGTGCATGTGTGTGTGAGTGAGCGTGTGTGTGTGAGCATGTGTTTGTGTGTGTGTGCGTGGCCCCCCTGGGGAACAGCCCAGGAAGGGCCGTGAGGGCCCCGTGTTCAGCGCAGCACGGGTTCTCCCGCTCGGAACCAGACGGGGCTCAGGGGAAGTGATCCCACACAGCGGTCTGATCATAAATCCCCAACCGGGGCCCTGGCTGGTGTGGCTCAGTGGACAGAGTGGGCCTGTGGACGAAAGGGTTCCCGGTTTGATTCAGGTCAAGGGCACCTGTGCAGGGTGGCAGGCTGGATCCCCCGTGTGGGGCATGCAGGAGGCAGCTGGTCCATGATTCTCTCTCATCATGGATGCTTCTCTCTCTCTCTCAATCTCCCTTCCTCTCTGACATCAATAAAAAAAAAAAATTTTTTTTTTAAAGGGGAGTAGCCAAAGCCCGTGTGGCTCAGTGGATAGAGCATCGGCCTGCAGACTCAAGGGTCCCGGGTTCGATTCCGGTCAAGGGCATGGACCTTGGTGGCTGGCACATCCCCGGTAGGGAGTGTGCAAGAGGCAGCTGATCGATGGTTCTCTCTCATCGATGTTTCTAGCTCTCTATCCCTCTCTCTTCCTCTCTGTGAAAAATCAATAAAATATATATTTTTAAAAAGTTATAAAAAATCAGTAAAATATATTTTAAAAATAAAAAAAGGGGGAAGACGAGGAAGGCGCCCAGGGCCTCACACCCGGTGCCGGAGGCCAGGCGTGAGGATGCGGTGGTGGCTGTGGTGGGTGTGGCCCGCGCTCCGCCCGGTGACGCAGGGCCCAAGGGTTTGGTCCTCGTCTGAGGACTGGCATCCGCCCCCCAACACCTGCTCCCCAGCCCGGAGGGTCCCGCTCCCGGGGGGAGGGGGCCGTGCCTTTGGCCGGGACACGGCCAGGAGCCATGAGGGTCCTCTGAGGCCCAGCTGGACTCGGGGTCCCTGCGCCCCTCCCGGCCTGTCTTCTCCCCTGAAGTGTGTGCGTGTTGGGGCGCGGAGGCCAACGTCTAGGGGCTCCGTATGCATGGAGCATCGGTTGTCATCAGCGTAACAGACATCTTAAGCCCTAACCGGTGTGGCTCAGTGGATAAAGCTCTGGCCTGCGGACTGAAGGGTCCCGGGTTCGATTCCGGTCAAGGGCATGTGCTTTGGTTGCGGGCACATCCCCAGTGGGGGGTGTGCAGGAGGCAGCTGATCGGTGTTTCTCTCTCATCCATGTTTTTCACTATCCCTCTCTCTTCCTCTCTGTAAAAATTCAATAAAATATATTTAAAGGAAAAAAAAAATACACCTTTTGTTTTTAAATATATTTTTATTGATCTCAGAGAGGAAGAGGTAGAACATCCACGATGAGAGAAAACCATGGACCGGCTGCCTCCTGCAACGCCGCTTACTGGGGCTGGAGCCTGCAACCCGGGCCTGTGCCCTGACCGGCCGGGAATCGAACCCTGACCTCCTGGTTCGACAGGGTCGACACCCAACCCCCACACCACACCCGCCGGGCTAAGGTACACCTTTATGACGATGTTTATGTCCACCCCACAGCGGCCACCCAGGAAAACACAGCTCCAGGCACACCAAGACAGAGACCGAGGCGTATCCACACGTCAGCCAGCAGCACGCCCGCCCGCCCGCCGGGCTGGCGAGCCTCGGCCGGTCGGGGGCCATCCCGTGTCCCCGGAGCAGCCGGCTCGGTCCCCGGCGGCGCGCGCTCCCTGGTTCGCAGCCAGGCTCCACCTGTGGGAGCCCGTGGCCGGGCTGGCTGCCCCCGCCTTTGTCCTCTTTCCGATTCCCGGCAGAGCCAGGCTGGCACCGGCCCCAGGCCTTCGCTCCGGATGTGGCCTCTGCCCGGAACCGCCGCCCAGGCCGTCCTCCCGGCACACTGGCCTTCGGCGACGCCACCTCCTCCAGGGAGCCCTCCGTGACTACCCCGCCCGAGCCCGTCACCGCCCTCGTCACCCGGCACGGCCTCCGGCATCACAGGCGGCCGCGCCGACTCACCCACCCCTCACTGCCACCTCTGGAACCAGAGGTTGTGACCTCCTGGTGCCGGTCCCGGGGCCGGCCTGCCCGGGCCTCCCCGGTGCCACCTGCGAGCCCCCGGCACAGCCAGGCCCAGCCCGCCGCCGGCGTTTGCAACGCCCAGGCCGTTCCGAACACGTGTGCGCGCCGCCAATGCGGTTAACGTGCGTGCCAGGCGGCAGAACAGAGGGCTGGGGGGCGACCTCTGGCCCCGTGTTCACGTGAAGACACTTCCCAATCTCACGAAGACAGAGGGACACCGTGGACCGGCCGGCGTGGCCCGGGGGTTGAGCGCTGACCTGGGAACCAGCAGATCGCAGGTTCGATTCCCGGTCAGGGCCCGGGCCGGGGTTCTGGGCTGCATCCCCAGGGTGGGGCGTGCGGGAGGCAGCGGATGGAGGGTTTTTGGTGTGTCTCTCTCGCCCTCTCTGAAATCAATAACTTTTTTTTTTTAAAGGTGGGCTCTGTGGAATATGGTCATCACACCGGCGAGGCCCGCAGCACACCTGCACCCAGGCACGCTCGGGCCTCGGTGGGCTGACCTGGGGCAGCCACCACCTGGCTCCTCACAGGAGGGGAGGCTCGGAAACACACAGCCAGGCAGGTGGAGACGGACCAGCCCCCGTGGCTCTGGCTCCACGGACAGAGCGTCAGCCCACGGAGTGAAACGTCCCGGGTTCGATCCCGGTCAAGGGCGTGGACCTTGCTTGCAGCCTGGATCCTATCCCAGCTCTGGGCAGCAGCTGGAGGTGCCTCTCTCTTTTTTTTTTTTTTTTTTTTTTTTGGTATATGTTTTATTGATTTATTACAGAGAGGTAGGGAGAGTTAGAAACATTGATGAGAAATAAACATCAATCAGCTGCCCCCTGCACATCCCCTACTGGAGATGAGCCCGCAACCAAGGTACTTATGGATGTTTCTCTCGGTCTCTCCCCTTCCCTTCCTCTCTCCCTAAAAAAATCAACGGAAAAATACCCTCGGGTGAGGATTAACAAAAAATAACCACAGTAAAGGGAGGCTGGAGGGGAGGGAGAGGGCGGGTGGGCTGGGCCCCTGAGGGCATGGGTGCTGCAAGGTGACGGGCGATTGCATCAGGGTGCGAGTGGCTGGGGCGCCCGGGTCGTCCCAGGTGATGCAACCCTGGCCGGCGGCCACTCGCCCACGGACGGAGCCCGGCCGGCCCAGCGCCCAGGCCCACGGGGCCGTCCGGCCGCTCGGCTATGGCTGCCCAAGCATCCCCTGGGGCTCTGAGGCTTCTGGAACCTTCACGCCCCTGGTTCCCACACCTTTTTTTTAAAAAATTTTTTAATTGATTTCATAGAGGAAGGCAAAGGGAGAGGGAGATAGAAACATTGATGATGAGAATCGCGGATCGGCTGACTCCTGCATGCCCCCTACTGGCGATCGAGCCTGCAACCAGGGCCTGTGCCCTTGACCGGGAATCGAACCCAGGACCCATCAGTCCACAGGCCGGCGCTCTATCCACTGAGCCACACTGGCCAGGGCTGGGCTGAAGGGAGTTCACGCCCAGGGGCCGCCCGGAGCTCACATTCCCGGGTCCTAGCCCAGTGCCCGGGACGGTCCCGGTGCCCGTCCCTGTGTCCTGGCCCACGGCCACCCCAGGGCCACGTGGTCCCCCGGGAACCGCCTCGGGGCCCCAGCACGGAGACCAGAGCCACGGCTTCCCCACCGGCAAACGTGTGCCGGCCCGGAGGCCACCCGTGCTCTGTTTACGTGACACACACACCCACGGGGACACGTGTGTGCGTGTGTGCGCGCGCGCTCACGGGCCGAGTCACGCCGAGGTCAGCGGCACCTGGGCCCGGCGTGCGTTCCGCGGGCCTCCTCCCCGTGGCCCCCCCGGAGTCCCGCCCTCCGTGCCTGCGTCCCCTGATGTCCTCCTGGGGGGAGGGGCGGGGGCTCTGGGGTCTGCCCCCAGGGTGGGGGCCCCCACAGGCCCACGGCTTCTCCGAGCAGAGCCAGCACAGCCGGGGACACAAGAGGCTTTGGCTGACACCCGGCCGGCGTGGCTGCGTGGCGGAGCTTCAGCCGATGAATCAGGTGGTCACGGGTTCGATTCCCGGTCAGGGCACAGGCCCGGGTTGGGGGCTCCATCCCCAGTGGGGGGCGTGCAGGAGGCAGCCGGTCCATGATGCTCTCTCATCATGGATGTTTCTCTCTCTCCCTCTTCCTTCCTCTCTGACATCAACAAAAATATATTAAAAAAATTATATATATATATATACACACACACACACACACACACACACACGTTTGTAAAAAGATGGGGGGTCAGGGTCAGGGGAGCAGAGAATTCTGCCTGCCTTTGGGGTTCCGGGCGGAAACAGCGATGTCGTTGATGACTTGCCCCCCCACCCCGCCCAGCACCCACAGGGCGTCACGGAGACAGAACTGCGCCCCGTGTTTGGCTTTAACACAGCTGAGGCCACGCCCCAGGCAGCCGGCTCCCCACAGCCCTGGTCCCCGGTCCGCTGTCCCCCAGCCCGTGCCCACCCTCGGACCCTCCCCACGTGCACAGGGCTCCCCCTGCAGCCACAGAGGGCGGGTGGGACCAGGCTGGGGAGGAGATGGGGGTGTGGGCGGGGGAGGGACCCCAGGGCGGACCGGTGGACACGGGGGCGGGGCCTGGCCTGGAGCCGGCGGCCGTGGCAGCAGCCACGCATCCAAGGTCTGTCTGCCTCTTGCTGCCTGGGCGCCAGGCAGAGGGCGCCCTTGGGTGAGACACGGGATTGGCCCCTGCCCGGCCGGGTGGCTCCGAGGTGGAGCATTGATCCACTGACTAGGCGGTCAGGGTTCGATTCCCGGTCCGGGCACAGGCCCGGGTTGCGGGCTCCATCCCCAGTGGGGGACGTGCAGGAGGCAGCTGGTCCATGATTCCCTCTCATCATGGATGTCCCTCTCTCCCCCCCCCTCACACATCTGAAATCAATAAAAACATATTAAATAAAATTTTAATAAAGCAGGACCCTTCGTGCCCCTCCCTCGGCAGCCGGGGTGAAATTCGTTGCTAACTTCCGGGGACCAGGGTGACCTCAAGGCCCTTCAGCACCTGCAGCCCTGAGGGTTTTGGCAGGGCTCAGGGGGGAGGCAGCCACACCCACCGGGACGGCAGTTCCTGTCTGGCCCCTCCCCCTCCTGTGGGACCCCCTCCTCCCTATTCCTGCTCAGGCGGCCTCCCCGGACCCCAAAACAGCCGGCTTCACACTGACCCAGCCCAGACGGTGCCCCCAGATCCAGCCCCTGGCTCCTTGGTGACGGCCTCTTCCGAGCAGAGCCCCCATGCCCTCCAGGGCTGAGGCGGCGCCTCCCGGCCCAGCTCTCGAACCCTGGCGAACGGCCCCTGCCATGTGGGCGGCCGGCGGGCTGGCAGCCACGCCCGGGGCCTCCCCACGCCCAGGAGGCCTCCCGTCCTGCACGTCCCACATGCACAGCCACGTCCTCCGTCCGCTGCGGCAGAGGCTCCCTCCCCGGCCTCCACGCCGTCCGGGAGGAAGTGCTGGGGGCCCCGAGGGGAGGTGCGACCCCGAGCAGAAGCCCCCAGGCCCCCGCCAAAGGCATCAGGGCCCGAGCCTGAGCCGCCAGGAAGCAGCCGGGCCACGCTCCTCTGTGGGTGGCGCCATGTCCGGGGGCCCTGGCTCGGGGGGCTCTTCGGAGTGTTGGGGGGCAGGTGGACGGAAGCACCGGGGATGAGGGGGCTGTGGGGAGGCGAGGGGGTGAAGCTGCTGGGCTCGGGGTGAGGCCCGGTCTCCGCTGCCCAGTCCCCGCCGGCCAGCAGGGACGGCGTCTCCTGGACAGACCCTCCCAGCAGGAGTGGGGCCGGCGCTCCTGTGTCCACGAGTCTGTGCAGACGGCCAGGGGGCGTCCCTCCATCCGGGAGGCTGACCTGGGGCTCTGCTCGGGCTGCCGGGCGGGTCCAGGGCCTCCGGCTCCCGGTGCTGGAGGCTGGGCCCCCTCCAGCCCCCGTGGCCCTGGTCCAGGGGCCGTGCCCTCCGCCCCGGGGGCCGTGCCCTCCGCCCCCGGGGCCCTGACCTCCGCCCCCAGGGCCGTGCCCTCCGCCCCCAGGGCCATGACCTCCGCCCCCAGGGCCGTGCCCTCCGCCCCGGGGGCCGTGCCCTCTGCCCCCGGGGCCATGACCTCCGCCCTCGGGGCCCTGACCTCCGCCCTCGGGGCCCTGACCTCCGCCCCCAGGGCCCTCCGCCCCCGGGGCTGTGACCTCTGTCCCCAGGGCCGTGCCCTCCGCCCCCGGGGCTGTGACCTCTGTCCCCAGGGCCGTGCCCTCCGCCCCCGGGGCTGTGACCTCCGTCCCCGTGGCCGTGCCCTCCGCCCCCGGGGCCGTGCCCCCGCCCTCGGGGCCGTGACCTCCGCCCCGGGGGCCGTGACCTCTGTCCCCAGGGCCGTGACCTCCGCCCCCGGGGCCGTGCCCTCCGCCCCGGGGGCCGTGACCTCCGCCCCCAGGGCCGTGCCCTCCGCCCCGGGGGCTGTGACCTCTGTCCCCAGGGCCGTGCCCTCCGCCCCAGGGGCCGTGCCCTCCGCCCCCGGGGCCCTGACCTCCGCCCCCGGGGCCGTGCCCTCCGCCCCCAGGGCCGTGCCCCCGCCCTCGCCGGGCGCTCAGAGCGCGGGGGCGCGGGCGCCACGCCGCAGGAGGCCCAGCGGGGGCAGCAGCGCGGCGGCCAGCAGCGGGCGGGCGGGCAGGGGCGGGCGGGCGGCCCCGGAGCTGCAGGCGCACACCTGGAAGCCGTCCTCCGCGCGGCTGCGGTCATGCCGGCCGGCCGGGGCGTGGGCCCCCGCCTCGCCCTCCGTGCCCGCGCCCCCGGGGCCGGCCTGCGGGTCCCTGCACGCCAGCCAGTCCCGCGCCGTGGGCTGCGGGTAGCCGGGCACCGCGGCCGGCTCGCTGTCCGGCACCTTCCAGTAGTCCGCCCCGCGGAAGAAGTAGGCGGCCCCTGCGGGGAGAGGGGCGCTGAGCTCCGCGGCAGGGGGTGTGGGGCGCGGCCGGAGGGACAGCGGGGCGGGGTGGGGTGGGGTGGGGGCGCGGCCGGAGGGACAGCGGGGCGGGGGGGGGGAAGGGGGGGAGCGCGGCCGGAGGGACAGCGGGGCGGGGGGGGGGGAGGGGCAGGGGCCGGAGGGACAGCGGGGCGGGGGGGTGGGGGCGCGGCCGGAGGGACAGCGGGGCGGGGGGGTGGGGGCGCGGCCGGAGGGACAGCGGGGCGGGGGGGGGGGCGCGGCCGGAGGGACAGCGGGGCGGGGGGGGGTGTGGGGGCCCGGCCGGAGGGACAGCGGGGCGGGGGGTGGGGCAGGGGCCGGAGGGACAGCGGGGGGGGGGGCGCGGCCGGAGGGACAGCGGGGCGGGGGGGGGGCGCGGCCGGAGGGACAGCGGGGCGGGGGGTGGGGCAGGGGCCGGAGGGACAGCGGGGGGGGGCGCGGCCGGAGGGACAGCGGGGCGGGGGGGGGGCGCGGCCGGAGGGACAGCGGGGGGGGGGGCAGGGGCCGGAGGGACAGCGGGGCGGGGGGGGGCAGGGGCAGGAGGGACAGCGGGGGGGGCGTGGCCGGAGGGACAGCAGGGCGGGGGGGGGGGGGCAGGGGCAGGAGGGACAGCGGGGGGGGGGCGCGGCCGGAGGGACAGCGGGGCGGGGGGTTGCGCGGCCGGAGGGACAGCGGGGGGGGGGCAGGGGCTGGAGGGACAGCGGGGCGGGGGGGGCAGGGGCAGGAGGGACAGCGGGGGGGGGCGTGGCCGGAGGGACAGCGGGGCGGGGGGGGGGGCGCGGCCGGAGGGACAGCGAGGCGGGGGGCGGGGGGGCAGGGGCCGGAGGGACAGCGGGGCGGGGGGGGGCGGGGGCCGGAGGACAGCGGGGCGGGGGGGGGGCAGGGCCGGAGGGACAGCGGGGGGTGGGGGGGGCGTGGCCGGAGGGACAGCGGGGCGGGGCGGGGGCAGGGGCAGGAGGGACAGCGGGGGGGGGGGGGGCAGGGGCCGGAGGGACAGCGGGGCGGGGGGAGGGCAGGGGCAGGAGGGACAGCGGGGGGTGGGGGGGGCGTGGCCGGAGGGACAGCGGGGCGGGGGGGGGCAGGGGCCGGAGGGACAGCGGGGGGTGGGGGGGGCGTGGCCGGAGGGACAGCGGGGCGGGGCGGGGGCAGGGGCAGGAGGGACAGCGGGGGGGGGGGGGCAGGGGCCGGAGGGACAGCGGGGCGGGGGGAGGGCAGGGGCAGGAGGGACAGCGGGGGGGGGGGGGGCGCGGCCGGAGGGACAGCGAGGCGGGGGGAGGGCAGGGGCAGGAGGGACAGCGGGGGGGGGGCCGTGGCCGGAGGGACAGCGGGGCGGGGGGAGGGCAGGGGCCGGAGGGACAGCGAGGCGGGGGGAGGGCAGGGGCCGGAGGGACAGCGAGGCGGGGGGAGGGCAGGGGCAGGAGGGACAGCGGGGGGGGGGGGGCGCGGCCGGAGGGACAGCGGGGCGGGGCGGGGGCAGGGCCAGGCCCCTCCCCCGGGCGCAGCCTCACAGGCCCAAGGACGCTCCGGGGCCGCGGGGCCTGGATGAGACGCCCGGTTTTCCACGGACGCGGTGCGGCCGGGTCAGGGAGGGACGATGGGACAGGACAGGCGCTGGCGGCCACGCTGGGGTGAGGGTCCCCAGGCCCCTCCTCTCGAACCCGGACAGCTCCCAGCCTCCCCGCCCGCTCACCGTCAGACCAGCGCATGGCGGCGTCCAGCGTCCGGGGCACGCCCCCCCAGGCCGGGCCGGGGGCCGGGTGGCCGGGGTCCATGCTGCGCGTGAGCTCGTCGAAGCGCCAGAACAGCTGGTCCTTGAAGAAGTACGTCTTGTCGCCGCGGGCCCAGGAGAGGGCGGCGTCCACGCCGCCGGGCGGGAGGCCGAAGTCGGACACCGGCCGCGGGAATCCCTCCTCCACGTGCGTGTCCTTGAACACCCAGTATCGGTCTCCTGGGGAGAGAGCGGGGCTCAGCCGCGAAGATGGGGCTCCCGTCCTGGCGTCTCCCCGGCACCCGTCCCCGTGACCTCGCCCTCCTGCCCCTCACCCCCGCAGCACCCCAGCTCACAGTGTTTCCTGAGCACCTGCTACGGGCCCCACACACCACACAGAGGCCAGGCTGGGGGGGCCTGTCACCCCAAAGCACATCAGCCTCTGCACACACACACTGCGAGGGACGGAGGCAGGGCCGCAGCCTCAGGCGCCTGCGACAGGCCCGTCCTGCCTGCTCCCCAGACGGACTGCGCGCCCCCGGAGCAGGGGTGGGGGCGCACCTGCCATCTCAGACCCCTGCATCCTCACCCCTCCCCTGGCGCCAGCCGCATCCTCTCTCCCCACTTGGCCGGGCTGTCCCTGCCCCAGGACCTTTGCACGGCTGCCCCCATCCCCTGCGGCTGCTCATCCTGCCCCCCCCCCCAGTTCTTGCAGCGCCCCCCGGGGGGGACCCAGAGCAGGTGCTCAGCAAACACTCTGCCACTGCCCCCCCCAGCCAATGGGAGCTCCAGGGGGCGGGGCCTGGTGCCCTCGAACCAATGGGAGCTCCCAGGAGGCGGGGCCTCCGGGTGCCCCCAGAGCCAATGGGAGCTCTGTGGGCGGGACCTCCGGCAGCCCCGGGCCAATGGGAGCTCTGGGGGCGGGGCCTCCGGCAGCCCCGGGCCAATGGGAGCCCCAGGGGGCGGGGCGGCCGGAGGGCCCACCTCGGAAGAAGACGATCTTGTGGTCGGTGGCGCGCTCGTACACGGCGTCCACGCCGTCCAGCTGGGCGGGCAGCCCCCGCCAGAAGCGGTGCATCTGCGCCGGCTGCGGCGACACCAGGTGCCGGTCCCGGGTCAGCCGCCAGAAGTACCTGCCTGCGGGGAAGCGGCACGGCTGGGGCCGGCCCGGGGCACCATCCCACCCCGGCCGGGGCTCCGGGGGACTCCGGGGGCTCCTGGAGGGATCAGGGGGGAGGGGCTCCTGGTGGGGGGGCTCCGGGGGGTGGAGGGGCTCCTGGTGGGGGTGCTCGGGGGGGTGGAGGGGCTCCTGGTGGGGGTGCTCCGGGGGGTAGGGGGGCTCCTGGTGGGGTGGGGGGGCTTCGGGGGGGCTCATGGAGGGATCCGGGGGGCTCGGCTCCAGGGGGGCGGGGGGGCTCCTGGAGGGATGGGGGCCTCCTGGTGGGGTGCTCCGGGGGGTGGGGGTGCTCCGGGGAGGCTGGGGGGTACCTTTGAAGAAGAAGGCCTCGCCGCGGATCTGCGCCACCGCGTCGAAGTGGGCGCTGCACCTGTGCGGCACGTCCCTGCCGGGCCTGCGGGCAGAGCGCGCGTGGGCCGCGGCCCCTCCTGGGCGGGGTGGGGGGTTGGGGGGGCGGCGTCCCTGAGGGAGCCCCACGCCTGCAGCTCTGGGACCCACAGCACTTGGACCAAGAACCGCCCTCCCAGCCCTGGCCGGTGCGGCTCAATGGATAGAGCATCAGCCTGGAGACTGAAAGGTCCCGGGTTCAATTCCGGCCAAGAGCACAGGCCTGGGTTATGGGCTTGATCCCCAGTGGGGGGTGTGCAGGAAGCAGCTGGTCCGTGATTCTCTCCCATTATTGATGCTTCTCTCTCTCCCTTCCTCTCTGAAATCAATAAAGATTTTTTTTTTAAAAAGCTGCCGGCCAGTGTTGCTCAGTGGTTGAGTGTCGGCCTGTGAACCAGGAGGTCACAGTTCAATCCCGGTCAGGGCTCCTGCCGGGTTGTGGGCTTGGTCCCCAGTAGGGGGCGCGCGGGAGGTGGCCGTTCAGCGATTCTCGTCATCGATGGCTCAGGGTGCCTTTCTCGGAAGAGCCTGGGGTTCGGGGTGCCCAGTCCCTGGGGGGCGGGGGCGGGGGCTGTTGCAGGGGTGACGGGCTCACGTACGGGGCGCTGGGCCGGCGGTCAGGGGGTGCCGGCAGGAGGCGAGGGCCCCCGGGCTCCCTGGTGTCCGGCTGTGCTGTGGGGGACACGGACTCCCGCACGCCTGCGGAGACAGAGGCTGCGTGAAACGCAGTGCGCCCGCCTCCCTCGAACCCCAGCCCGCGGGGCCCAGCACCGGCCGGAGCCAGCGACCGGTCCTGAGACACAGGTGCCTGGACCCCCGAGACGCCAGCCCTGGGCACGGACCCTGAAGAAGCAGACGGTGCTCCCACAAAAACCCCGACTGGGTGCTCCCGGCGGCGTGGCCCCTGACGCCGAGGCAGGGGCAACCCAGACGTAACAGCAGCAAATGCAGAGAGAGGAAGTCATTCTAAAAAGGGACGGAGAACTTCCCTGGCCAGCGTGGCTCAGTGGATAGAGCAGCCGGCCTGCGGACGGAAGGGTCCCGGGCTCGATTCTGGTCAAGGGCATGGACCTTGGTTATGGGCACATCCCCAGTGGGGGGGGTGCAAGAGGCAGCCAGTCCATGGCTCTGTCTCATCATGGATGTCTCTCTCTCTCCCTCCCTCTTTCTAAATTAAAACATTTCCACGGTAAATTTTACTGCAATAAAACGACCCGGCGCCAGAGGGCAGCGGTGTGGGGAGAGCACGCGGGCGGGTGGCCTGGAGGGCGACCAGGGAGTTCACGGCTGGGCCTCCTTCCTTCCGCGGCACTTCCCCCGCGCCCCCAGCAGAGGGCGCCTGGTCTCACTGCTCCTCCCCAGCGGTCCCGCCTCTCACACACACACACACACACCCGTGCCCAGCGGGGGGACCCTCTGCACCCAGGGCCCAGCTCCGTGCCCGCCCCGGGCGCCCTGCCGGGGAGACACTCACCGTACAGCTGCCAGGCGCGCACCCGGTCCGCGTAGGGGAGCCCGTAGTGCAGCGGGTCACCCACCGGGCCCTGGTAGTAGGGCTGCATGACGGACTGCGTGGTCGCCACGTGGCTCAGCCCGATGGCGTGGCCGAACTCGTGCACGGCCACCGAGAACAGGTCCACGCCGTGGGCATCTGGGGACACGGGGACGGTGAGCCACGGGGACGGTGAGCCACGGGGGACGGTGGGCCACGGGGGATGGAGAGCCACGGGGACGGTGAGCCACGGGGACGGTGAGCCACGGGGGACGGTGAGCCACGGGGGACGGTGGGCCACGGGGACGGTGAGCCACGGCGGACGGTGAGCCACGGCGGACGGTGAGCCACGGCGGACGGTGAGCCACGGGGGGCGGTGGGACATGGGGGATGGAGAGCTACGGGGGACGGCGAGCCACGGGGGACGGTGAGCCACGGGGGACAGAGAGCCACGGGGGGCAGAGAGCTACGGAGGACGGTGAGCCACGGGGACGGTGGGCCACGGGGGACGGTGAGCCATGGGGGGTGGTGAGCCACGGGGGGTGGAGGGGTGGGGAGTGAGGTCGCCAGAACGGGAACCGCCCAGCTGTTCCCAGGACCCGACAGCTGTGCCTGGGGTGTGTCTCCATCTCCTCGGGGCGACCGTGGCTGCTGCACCCTCCAGGTCACCCCCACACTCACCCCCCCGCCCGGCTCGCTCCCCCCGCCCCCCCCGCACCCCCCTGCACTCAGCCCGCCCCCCCGCACCCCCCTGCACCCAGCCCCCCCCTGCACTCAGCCCGCCCCCCCGCACCCCCCCTGCACCGAGCCCCCCCCCCCCCCCCCGCCCCCCCCGCGGCCCGGAAGGCGCAGGCCCCGTCGGGGCGGCCGTGGCTCTGCACCCCCGGTCACACCCCCTGCACGCACCCCCCGCACCCCCTCCCCCCCGCACCCACCCGCGGCCCGGAAGGCCCAGGCCTCCTCGGCGTCGAAGTGGGCGTCGCCGGCGGCCGGGTGCTCCCCGGGCAGGAAGGCGTGGGCCACGGTGCCCCCGGGGCCGTCGAAGGGGAAGGGGTCGTTGTGCTCGGCCGCGGAGAAGTCGATCTGGATGTCGGCCGAGCTGCCCGCCACCTCGTGGAAGTTGAGGGGCGTGATGTCGCCCCAGACCTTGAGGGCGTAGTGCATGAGCGCCCGCACCGTGTCCCGGCCCAGCGGCGAGTCCCGCGGGAACGTACGGACCCTGGGGCGGAACGGGGGTCAGGGCCGGGGTCAGAGCGGGGTCAGGGCCGGGGTCAGAGCGGGGTCAGGGCCGGGGTCAGGGCCGGGGTCACGGCCGGGGTCAGGGCCGGGGTCTGGGCCGGGGTCAGGGCCGGGGTCACGGCCGGGGTCACGGCCGGGGTCAGGGCCGGGGTCACGGCCGGGGTCGGGGCCGGGGTCAGAGCGGGGGTCAGAGCGGGGGTCAGGGCCGGGGTCAGAGCGGGTCAGGGCCGGGGTCAGAGCGGGGTTCAGGGCCGGGGTCAGAGCGGGGGTCAGGGCCGGGGTCAGAGCGGGGTCAGGGCCGGGGTCAGAGCGGGGGTCAGGGCCGGGGTCAGAGCGGGGGTCAGAGCGGGGTCAGAGCGGGGGTCAGAGCGGGGTCAGAGCGGGGTCAGGGCCGGGGTCAGAGCGGGGGTCAGGGCCGGGGTCAGGGCCGGGGTCAGAGCGGGGGTCAGAGCGGGGTCAGAGCGGGGGTCAGAGCGGGGTCAGAGCGGGGGTCAGGGCCGGGGTCAGAGCGGGGTCAGGGCCGGGGTCAGAGCGGGGTCAGGGCCGGGGTCAGAGAGGGGTCAGAGTGGGGGCGGGTCACCAGGACAGGCTGTGCCCCCCCCACAGGCTGCAGGCGGCTCCTGGGGACGCCCTGCCCGGTGGGTGAGGGCCCTGCTCGGACTGGGGCGGACGGCGGGACCTGGGGACGCCCTGCCCGGTGGGTGAGGGCCCCGGGTGGAATGGGGCGGACGGCGGGACCTGGGGACGCCCTGCCCGGTGGGTGAGGGCCCCGGGTGGACTGGGGCGGACGGCGGGACCTGGGGACGTCCTGCCCGGTGGGTGAGGGCCCTGCTCGGACTGGGGCGGACGGCGGGACCTGGGACGCCCTGCCCGGTGGGTGAGGGCCCCGGGTGGACTGGGGCGGACGGCGGGACCTGGGACGCCCTGCCCGGTGGGTGAGGGCCCCGGGTGGACTGGGGCGGACGGCGGGACCTGGGGCGCCGCCCGCACCTCCAGGACAGGTTCCTCTTGCTCCACGTGGCCGGGGCCGGGGCCTGGCGCCTCCGCCGGGCGGGGCCGGGGCCCGGGCGGTCCGGCAGGGAGCAGCGCGGGGTCCGCATCCGGGCCAGGGTGGGCGCGTCTGCGGGGAGGGGGGGAGGGTCAGCACCCAGCCGGCCCAGCCTGCCGCCCCGCGGCACCTCGGTGGGGACGGGTGACTCCGCGGGGCCCGGGGAGGGCCCTCACAAAACCGGAACCGGCCCGGCCGGCCGCGTGTCTCCGAGCCTGACCGCCGACCCAGGAGCCAGGAGGTGGGGGTTCGACTCCCGTCGGGGCCCAGGCCAGGACTGGGGGCTCCATCCAGTGTGGGGTGTGCAGGAGGCAGGTTCTCTCTCATCATCGATGCTTCTCTCTCTCTCTCTTCCTCCCTTCCTCTCTGAGATCAATAAAAATATATTTAGAAAGGGGGGTGCTCTCTCACCCCACCCCCCGGTTTCTGGTTCCTCTTGGAAAGCTGGGTGTTCGGGCAGGACCGGCCGGCACCCCGCAGGGCAGGGGTCACAGAGAGGGCACGGCCGGCTGGTGTGGGGCCGGGCCTGGGGCGGCTGTGCCCACCCCGGGGGGGAGGGGAGGGTGGCGGGGGGCCCCCCGGGGAAGGGGGGCGCAGGGAGGAGGGGGGGTGCAGGGGGAGGCGGGGACGCCCACCCCCTCGGCCCGCACTGACCCAGGACGCCCGTGGCCTCCAGGCCCGCGAAGCGCTGCATGGCGGCCAGGGCCTCGGCCAGCTCCTCCGGCGCCGGCAGCCGCCCGGCGGCCGGGTCCGCGGGGCGCAGGTACCCGAACCGGCCCAGCCACGCCTGGCGGAGGGAGAGGAGGGCGGTGGGGCGGGGCCCCCGGGCCAGCCCCGTCCGGCTCCACAGGGGACACCCGGCCGCACGCCTGCCCCCAGGCCGCCTGCCCGGGGCGCCCGCCACGATCACACGCGGACAGTCAGGAGCCCGGCTGGGGGCTCAGGGGTCGGAGCACCGGCCCTGGGGCGGAAGGGTGGGGGGTTCGATCCCCGCCGAGGGCGTGCACCGAGGCGCAGGCTCGGACCCCAGCTGCCCAGGGCCCGGGGCGGGCGGGCAGCGCATTGCATCTGTCTGTCTCCCCGTCCCTCCTGAGACCTCCGGGAACATCCCCGGTGAGAACGAGCGGACACATCAAACGGAGTGAACAGGCTGTCGGAGGAGACAGATCGGGGCCGGGGGAGGGCGCCGGAGGGGCCGGCGTCTAACGGGCCAGCCTGCAGCACACCCGGCGATGCGGGCCCAGGGCGGGTTCTGCCCCCGAGGCTCCGGGAGGAGCGGAGGGGAGGGAGGGGAGGGGAGGGGATCGGTTGGTCGGTCGCGGTCACGTCGGCGCAGGGGGCGCCCCCACCTCCCCGCCCCCCCACACCTCCCCCCCCCCCCCGTTGCCAAGGCGCCGCACGGTCTCCAGGGCAACCGGCCGCGGGGGCGGGAGGGCGCGGAGCCTCCGGAGGCCGGAGGGGGCGCCCGATCAGCGCCGACCCCGGGCACCGCCCCCGCGGCCTGGGGCCCCCGCCCCCCTCCCCGCGCGGCTCCCGCCCCGGGTTCGCCTGTCCCCGCGGCGCGTCCGTGCCGGCGCCCCCCCTCCTCCCGGCGCCTCCGGTCCCTTTCGGGGCGCAGCCGCACCCCAGGCGCCCCACTGTGGCTCCGGGGCGCCCCGGGGCCGGCGCTCCCCGCGGGGAGGGGGTCAGAGGGGTGCGGGGGGGACAGAGAGGGTGCGGGGGGGACAGAAGGGGTGCGGGGGGGACAGAGGGGGTGCGGGGAGGGGGGACAGAGGGGGTGCGGGGGGGACAGAGGGTGCGGGGGGGACAGAGGGGGTGCGGGGGGGACAGAGGGGGTGCGGGGGGGGACAGAGGGGGTGCGGGGGGGACAGAGGGGGTGCGGGGGGGACAGGGGGTGCGGGGGGGGACAGAGGGGGTGCGGGGGGGGGACAGAGGGGGTGCGGGGGGGGCAGAGGGGGTGCGGGGGGGACAGGGGGTGCGGGGGGACAGAGGGGTGCGGGGGGGGACAGAGGGGGTGCGGGGGGGGACAGAGGGGTGCGGGGGGACAGAGGGGGTACAGGGGGGTACAGGGGGGAGACAGAAGGGGGTCCGGGGTCCGGGATAGATGAAAGCCGGCGCCCGGCGTCCTGCCCCCGGCCCCCTCGCAGCACCGGCCTCCCCTCCGAGGCGGCCGGCTCGTCTGGAGGCTGGGGGGCGGCGGGCCCAGAGGGGGCGGGCAAGAGGGGGCGCGGGTGCAAGAGGGGGGGGGTGGCAGAGGGGGGGGAAGGGGAGGGGCGGGGGGGGCGGTCAGGGGGGGGGCGGGCAGTGGGGGGCGGGGCGTGGCAGGGGTGTGAGGGCGAGGCAGGCAGAGGGGGGCGGCAGTGGGGAGGGCGGGCCAGAGGGGGGCGGGCAGGGGGAGGGTGGGCAGGGGGAGGGCGGGCAGATGGGGGGGGCGCGGGGGGAGGCGGGCAGGGGGGAGGGCGGGGCGAGCGGCCAGGGGGGGCGGGGCAGGGGGAGGGCGGGCAGTGGGGGGTGGGCAGGGGAGGGTGGGCAGGGGGAGGGCGGGCAGAGGGGGGCGGGCAGGGGGGGCGGGCAGGGGGGGGCGGGCAGGGGGGGGCGGGCAGAGGGGGGCGGGCAGGGGGGGGGGGCCCAGGAGCAGGGCCTGTGGGATCCTGTCGGCACCGCCTGCCAGAGGGCGGCCCGAGGCCGTCAGCACCACCTTTCCCAGCCACAGCCCATTAGGCCGGGAGGAACCAGACACTCAGGGAAGCCGGAGCACCGCCCGGCCGTGCCTGCAGGTGGCGCTGTGCCGCAGAACACTGCGAACCCCAATCCTCCCCGGGCCTCCTTCGCCCCCTCCTCTACCGCCCCCCCTCCCCCCACTCCCACCTGCCAGATGCTGCCCAGTTCGAGTCCCCTCCTCCTTACCCCCCCCCCCCCCCGCCCTGTCCTCACGGCCCATCCTCCAGATGAGCAGACTGAGGCCCTTACCTCCCCCCCCGCCCTGTCCTCACGGCCCATCCTCCAGATGAGCAGACTGAGGCCAGCGCCCAGTCAGGTCTCCGGCCGCCGAGCAGCAGCCTGGGGGCACCCGCCCAGCTCAGCCAGGCGTCCCGCTGGGTGCTCCCACACGGAGCCCACAAAGACGGCTCAGTCCCTGGCCTGCCACCGGCCCGGAGCCGGGCTCGCTGGGAGAGCCGCCGGGGGCTCAGGAGTTGCCCACCATGTGCATGCGAGCTCCCTGCCCTCCCCTCCTCTCCCCTCCCCTCTCCTCCTGGTTAACCCTTCCCTGCACCCCGGCTCCCGGCAGAGGGCATGTGGCCGCTTTCTCAGCTCAGCTGCCAGGCCTGTGACTCCATCCGGAGCCCCCGGGGGTGCACGGCTCTCGGGGGCGCTGGGTCCGGAGGCCGCAGGCCCAGGCCAGGGTGACTGCCGCCCCAGGAGGGGGACAGGGTGCCCCAGCGAGGCCCTGGGGCCGCTCCCCATCACCCCCGTCCGTCCAGCTCGGCCCCTGGCGGCTCCCGGGCCACTGAGGGCCCTGCGCACCCCGCCACCCACACGCCAGCCTCAGCCCCAGCCCCGGCCCCGGCCCCCTCTGGGCGCCAGGCAGCGGCTGTGCCACTGATGGGCGTGCGGAGCCGAGCCAGGCCTCGGGCACCCTCAGCCCTGCCGGGAGCAGACGCGAGGGGCACGTGGGGGCCGCCCGCAGGGCCGGCCTCAGGCTGACAACAAGCGGGAGCTCCCACCGGGCAGACGGGGCCCCGGGCGTCCCAGGTCAGACGGCGAGGGTGGGCGGGGGCACATGGAGGCAGCAGCTTGTCCCTCGAACCCGCGGGGCTGAGGGTGTCCGGGGCCCAGACCCCGAATTCGGGGAGGATCAGGGGGCACAGGAAGAGGGGAGGAGGCAGACCTGGGGCCCAGGAGGGCACAGCCGGGCCCTTTGACCCCGCGCCCCGGGCCAGCAGCACCCATCAGCGTGGGCACAGGGCCTCAGTGCGGCTTCCCGCCCGGCTGGGGCCGAGGCTGGGCTGGGCTGGGGGGGGGTCCCCCGGCCTGGGACCTGCCGCCGCCTGGACCCCCTCGGGGTGAAGCTGGGTGGCGCTTCCAAAGGGCCCTTCTCCTGACTGAGCATCCAGCCTGCGTCGTCCCCCCACTGGTCTGAAGGGGTGGCGGGAGGGAACCCCGCTTCCCATCCGTCCCGGAGTCTCAGGCCTCCTGCACCCCTAGGCTCAGGCTCCGATGTGCCATCCCCCGGCGGCCACCAGAGGGCGCGCCCTGCCCACAAACCAGGGGCAGAAAGCAGGCAGGCAGGCCGGCTTCTCCCGCACCCTGTGGGCGAGCCCGGCTCCCTGGGGTGGGAGCTCCCCAGCCAGGGCAGCGTCCTCTGCTCGCTCTCTCTCTCTCTCTCTCTCTCTCTCTCTCTCTCCCCCCACAGGGCCCGGCGCCAGGGCCCTGCAGTCTCTGGGCTCCGGCTCCAGGCTAGGGAGCCGTGGCCCTCCCCCTGTCCATCCGGCACATCCGGGTGACCCCTGGGTGCTGGGAGCCCATGGGAGCAGGGGGAGGAGGCGCACCCAGCGGGGCTGGCGGGTGGTGCCTGACTGCTCGCTCCCTCCCTCCCCCGGCCGCCGGGGGAACCGGAGCCGCCCCGGGTTCGAGGGAAGGACGTGGCTGGACCGGAGCCCCGTGCCCTGCCCGTGGCCCCCACCAGCCTTCCCGGTCCTCAGCCCCGATGGGAAGCGCGATCTCCCCACAGCGTGCACCCCGGGGTGGGGTGGGGCGGATCCCGGACACCCCAGCCCTACAGGGCCGGGAGGAGGTGGGGTGAAGGCGCCCCGTCTCAGAGGCAGGGTGGCTGGGAGGCCCCGGCGATGGGGCCCCTCAGACCCTGACTGCACCCCTCAGGGTGGCCGAGGCCGGGCAGCCGGGCGGGCAGCCAGAGCCTGCGTGTCACCCGGAACCTGCGGCAGCTCCGGCCCAGGACGGGGTGCCGGTGCACCCACAGGCGCCCGGAGCCCCCGATGCCGCGGGACGGGGGCCGCCAGCTCCCCGCAGGAGGCTGCCCGCTGGGGCAGAGGGTCCCGGAGGCCCGGTCCCCGGGCGCAGGGAGGGCGGCTGCGGCGGGACCCGCGCTCCGGCCTGGCCCCGGGGGAGCGCGGGCGGCGGACGTCCAGGCTGAGCTGACCCTCCCGGGTCCAGAGGGGGCTCCCGGGCCGGGGGCTGCACGGGGGCGGGGAGAGGCGCGGCTCCCGGGCCGGCGGGGCAGCTGGGCAGCAGGACGTGGGCGCCGGGGGCGGGGGCGGGGGCGCCGGGGCTGCCGCGGAGCCCGGGACGGCAGGGGCCCAGTGGCGCTCGGGGCAGGGCCGGGGGCGGCGGGGCCGGACTGGGCGCCCGAACGGAGCGAGTGGCGGTGGCGCAGGGCCAGAGCCCTGCCCGGTGCGGGGCCGGCTCCCGGCTCCCCGGCTCCCTCGCGCCCCGGCTCCCCCGCGCCCTCCACGGAGCCAACTCGAGGACCGCCGCGCTCCGGGCGCCCGCGCTCCGCGGCCCCGGCCTCTCCGGGCGGGGGCGCCCCTCGGCCGCCCTCCCCGGACACCTGCCCCCGGCCCGCGCCCTCCGGCTCCTGGGCTGCAGCGCGCTCCGCTCCGGGCGCCCGGGGCGGGCAGGGCGGGCTCCGCGTCGCTCCGCGCTCAGCCCCGCACTCCGCCGCGCGCTCAGCGGGCTCGGCCGCCGGGCAGCGGGTCCGGGCGCCGGAGGGGCCGCCCGCCCGCCCGCCCGCCCGGAGCGCCCGCGGCTGCGCACTCACCACCCCCGAGCTGAGGTCCTCGGCGCGGGGCGCGGGCGCGGCGCGGCCCCCGCAGGCCGCCAGCACGAGCAGCAGCAGCGGCAGCGGCGGCGGCGGCGGCGGCGGGACCTGCGGCCGGGCCCGCGGCGGCCCGGGCATCGCGATCGCGGGGCGGCGGGCGGGCGGCGTGAGGTCCCCGCGCCCCGCGTCCCGAGCGCCCCGCGCGCCGCTCCCGGCCGACTGAGCAGCCCGGCGGAGGGCGGGGCGGGGCATGCTAACGTATGCTAATGAGCGGTGGTTAGCTCCGCCCACCTTCTTAAAGGGCCCGCTCCCCGCGGGATGTTCCGAATCCCAGCGCCGGTCAGAGTCCACCTGGGCGCCCGAGGGGCGGGGTTTGCCTGGGGTCCCCGCCGGGTGGGCGCGGAATCCGGGGTCCCGGCCACCCCCTCCCCAGGACCCGACCCTGCTCCCGCCGGACCCCGCTTGGCAGCCGCACGCCGAGCAACCGCTACGTGGCGCCCCTGCCCCGCAGTGGAAGGCGCTGGAGCGGGGCCGGCGGGGTGGGGGCTGAGGTTTGGGGCTGGGGGCTGTGGGCTGTGGGGCTGTGGTTTGGGGCTGGGGGCTGTGGGCTGTGGGGCTGTGGTTTGGGGCTGGGGGCTGTGGGCTGTGGGGCTGTGGTTTGGGGCTGTGGGCTGAGGCTGGGGGCTGTGGGCTGAGGCTAGGAGCTGGGGGCTGAGGTTTGGGGCTGTGGGCTGTGGGCTGTGGGGCTGTGGTTTGGGGCTGGGGGCTGTGGGCTGAGGCTGGGAGCTGGGGGCTGAGGTTTGGGGCTGGGGGCTGTGGGGCTGGGGGCTGTGGGCTGAGGCTGGGAGCTGGGGGCTGAGGTTTGGGGCTGTGGGCTGTGGGGAGGGAGGGATGGGGAGCAGGTTTGGCAGCGGCGGGGTCAGCGAGGGCGAGGGTCTGAGGTCACTGGGTTGGGGCAGGGGAACGCTGGCTTGTTGGTGTGTCCTCCCTTATGGAATCGCGCTCACTTCTCACATCTCCTTAAAACTGCGGTCCCCATGGCCAACCAGGAAACAGGCCCAGAGGCGCGGAGGCACCTGCTGGGGGGAGGGCCCAGCGCCGGAGGGTCTTGGGATGCCACCCTTCCTCACACTGGGTTTGGCTCCCTCTCCCCCTTCACCCCGCGGTCACTGCCGGTGTGTCAGGATGGAAGTCCCATTCTACAGACAGGGAAACTGAGGCCCAGGCCCTTCCACTGAGAGCTGGGCTCCAGGCAGAGTCCCCTCCTCACGCCCCCCCCCCCATCCCCACTCCCCCTGTCCCTGTCACTCCCAGAGCCTGGAGACAGCTCCCGCCACATCCTCCGCATCCACACAGCCACACAGGGTTTCCCAGCCGCAGGCCCAGGGCCCCGTCATTGGGTGGGCCCACTCCGTGCACTGGCCTGGGAGGAGGGGTTAGCTGAAAAGGAAGTGGAGGGTCCTGGGGCCTGGCTCAGTGGCTGAGCGTCGACCTATGAACCAGGTCAGGGTTCAATTCCCAGTCAGGGCACAGGCCTGGGTGGCAGGCTCCGCTGCCAGTGTGGGGCGTGCAGGAGGCAGCAGATCCATGGTCCTCTCTCATCATGGATGTTTCTCTCCCTCTCTGATATCAATAAAAATATTTTTTACAAAAAGGAAGTGCAGGTGCTGGTCTGAGGCAGGGAGGTGGGTGGCAGGCAAGGCTGGATCACTGGGTCTGGGGAGGCACTCGAGTGCTGACCCCACTGTGGACCAGGTCTGCCTGCTTCGGAGACTTGTGGGGACTGGCTGAGGGGCTGTCCGAGGCCTGTGCGGGACCAGCCTGGGAGGGCGGTGAGAGGGGCCTGGGGTCAGGAACACAGGAAGGGCCTCACTCTGGCTGGTGTGCCCGTGGTCAGAGCATGGGCCCGTGGCGCAAAGGGTCCCAGGTTCAATTCCAGTCAAGGGCATGTGCCTCGGTGCAGACTCCATCCCCAGCCCTGGTATGGGTGTGTGCAGGAGGCCACCAATCGAGGAGTCTCTCCCCCTCCCTCCCATCCTCCCTAAAAAGCAATGGAAAAGTATCCTCCGATAGGATTAAGAAAACAAGACAAATAGATACACCAACGGCCTACAGACAGGGTTCTCCCAACAGGCGGAGGGGCCGGAGAGGGGGCGGGAGCCGAGGCTGTCGGGGCGAGCACCACGGAATCTGGGGTTGGGACGTGGCCGGAAGCCAGGCCCCCGGAGGCTGGAGAAGCAGCGTGTGGCACAGGTCCGCGGGCCGCGGAGCGGGGACCAGCCGGCACGCCTCGCTCGGAGGCCCCCGGGAGCCGATTAAAATTTAAAGGCATTTCCTGCCGCCCCAGAAAGCTCGCCGTCCTTGCACGGGAGGCGAGCACACGTCGCTGGCAAACTGCTCCGAGCCACCGGGCTGCGCGCGGCGGTGCAGGCGGGGCCCTGCCTCCCGGAGGAGCCGTGCGCACTGGAGAGGCCAGGGCACCGTTTCCTTTACTTTTTAAAACGCGTTTTTACTGATTTCAGAGAAAGGGAGGGAAACATCGCTGATGAGAATCACCACTGGGTCGACGGCTGCCACAGGCACCCCACCCCCGCCGCCCTCTGCTCGGCAGCTGCACCGCGGGAACACACCACGGAGTGCACGCGTGATGGCGTGTGAGTGGTGACAGACACGTGTGAACACAAGCCACACGAGGAAGGAGCGGCCAGTCCGTAGCTAGAAAAGGTGTTTTCTTCCATTTTATTGGTAATACATTTCACAGAAACATGATACTATTTACAAATATACAGGTAAGAGGCTGCTGGTCAAAAATCTTAAACTAAAATTATCGTCAAAAATGCATTTACAAACCCACCCCGTCCACGGTGCCGGGGAGGGCGGCCAATCAGGAGGCGCTGGTCTGCATGTTTTTGGAGGCGGCCAGCATCGCGCGGACCTTGGCCATGAGGTCCTGGGGAAGGAGACAGACAGAGGGGCTTCTGGGAGCTGCGGGGCCCCGGGGGGCCAGGGGCAGGAGGGGTTGACAGCCGGGGGCCGGGGCCGAGGCCGGCCTGGGAAGGTGGTGGCTGAGTGCCTCTCAGTGCGGGCGGCAGGCGGCCAGGTCACCCGGGGACCCCGGGAGCTGAGACGGCCCCAGAAAAGGGAGACTTGGGGACACGTGCCCCCGCGAGGCAGACACCCCCATGGCGGACACCTCACCTGCGTGATCTTGCTCTGCACAGAAGACACGATGGCCGAGGAGATGTGCCCCTCCTTCTCCTGAGACACGCCCCTGAGGCACACAGGGCAGAGCATCACCACCAGCCGCCCGGAGCAGCCAGCCGCCCGGAGCCCCCAGCCACCCTCGGAGCCCCCAGCCACCCTCGGAGCCCCCAGCCGCCCTCGGAGCCCCCGGCCGCCCTGAGCCCCCAGCCGCCCGGAGCCCCCGGCCGCCCTCGGAGCCCCCAGCCGCCCGGAGCCCCCAGCCGCCCTCGGAGCCCCCAGCCGCCCTCGGAGCCCCCAGCCGCCCTCGGAGCCCCCAGCCGCCCTCGGAGCCCCCAGCCGCCCTCGGAGCCCCCAGCCGCCCGGAGCCCCCAGCCGCCCGGAGCCCCCAGCCGCCCGGAGCCCCCAGCCGCCCTGAGAGCCCCCAGCCGCCCGGAGCCCCCAGCCGCCCGGAGCCCCCAGCCGCCCGGAGCCCCCAGCCGCCCTGAGCCCCCAGCCGCCCTGAGCCCCCAGCCGCCCGGAGCCCCCAGCCGCCCTGAGAGCCCCCAGCCGCCCTGAGAGCCCCCAGCCGCCCGGAGCCCCCAGCCGCCCGGAGCCCCCAGCCGCCCTGAGAGCCCCCAGCCGCCCTGAGAGCCCCCAGCCGCCCGGAGCCCCCAGCCGCCCGGAGCCCCCAGCCGCCCGGAGCCCCCAGCCGCCCGGAGCCCCCAGCCGCCCGGAGCCCCCAGCCGCCCGGAGCCGCCCGGAGCCCCCAGCCGCCCGGAGCCGCCGGGGCCGGGACAGCGTGGACGCACCCCGCGGCCCGAGGTGTGGAGGGGGCTGTGTGGACGCCCCCCCAGAAGCCAACTGAGGACAGGGCGTCGGGGAGCGGCCGTGGGCTGAGGACCGTGATGGTGCTGTGGGTGCGGCGCCCGCCCACCTCCGCCACTGCTGACGCCAGAACGTGACTGCTGTGGAGGGGGGTGAGGGGGAAAGGGGCTCCCTAACGGGGGGGGTGGGGGAAAGGGGCTCCCTAACGGGGGGGGGGGGGAAAGGGGCTCCCTAACGGGGGGGGGGGGAAAGGGGCTCCCTAACGGGGGGGGGGGAAAGGGGCTCCCTAACGGGGGGGGGGGGAAAGGGGCTCCCTAACGGGGGGGGGGGAAAGGGGCTCCCTAACGGGGGTGGGTGGGGGGAAGGGGCTCCCTAACGGGGGGGGCGGGGGGAAAGGGGCTCCCTAACGGGGGGGGGGGAAAGGGGCTCCCTAACGGGGGGGGTGGGGGGAAGGGGCTCCCTAACGGGGGGGGGAAAGGGGGCTCCCTAACGGGGGGGTGGGGGGAAGGGGCTCCCTAACAGGGGTGGGGGGAAGGGGCTCCCTAACGGGGGGGACGGGCGGGCCGGGGCCCCGGTTACCTGGGGCGCTCCGGGCTGGAGCCCCGGCTCTCCACGGGAGAGATGCTGGCCGAGTGGGCGGAGGGCCGGTGTGGGGCCTGCTTGCTGGGGGACGCTGAGCGGGACTCGGCCTTGGACTTGGTCCGGGACCGCGAGCGCCTCTTCTTCTTCTTCTCGTGGGGGCTCCTGGGAGGAGGGAGGGGTGGTGTTTGCAGCGGCCACGCCTGTCACACCAGCGCTCTCCAGTGGCGAGACCCCGCCCGCCCGCTCCCCGACGCCGCTGAGGACGCCGCCTCCAGCTGTGCAACAAGAAGGCGGGTACGAGGCGGCACCGCCCGCCCCCGGCCCCACGCGGGCCGTCATGCGCCCGTCGTCACCCCGAGTCGCCTGGTTCCGCAGCACCCCCTCCCCCGCCCCCACCCAGGAAGGACCAGGAAAGAAACAAGGTGCCGAGGGCATGGAGCCCTCCTGGTCCCCCACCCCCCTTCCTTGGGAGCATGCCCCTCAGAGCTGGGCGCTGTCCGCACCCAGGCCACCGCCCGCCCTCCGGGCTGGGCTCGGCACCATGACCCAGCCCGGCGCTGTCCCTGCGTGGCTCCCGCCCTGTCTGCACAGGGACGTAAGAGCTGAGGGCAGCGCTGGGCGGCAAGGGGCAGG